TATCATTAATTCCCATATCAAAAAGTGAAATTTAGTTTTCCAACTTTGTTTACGTCAGAGGTTGACCATATTTAGTGTTTTTCCACTTTAAAACCCCCCACAAATCCCCTTTAGTTTACAAAGCAAGAATTCTTATTATCTTTATCAGTTAACATAGCCATTGTGCATCGAGTGATTGTAAGAATGCACTTTTGCTGAAAAAAAAAAACCCCATGCTGATTAAACACTGGCCTTCTATGTTCACCATTCTGTACAAAAATCCTAGCAACCAGCAGGTGCTAAGCAGAATGAATAAAAGTCCCTTGTTGATACTCTATTTTTTTTAAAAAAAAAAAGAACCCTAATTTTTAAGTATACATAGCATATTTATTTCTAACCATTCGTGAATAGTTATATTCTGAAGGGAATGAATGTCTGTAACCATTACACCAAGTTATAGGAGACTGCTCTGTGTAAACAGAAAGCCCATGTGATCATTTTTCAAACATGAATATTTACACTCTTTCCTACTGAAGGTAAACATTTGATTTTCACTTCATGAAAGCAAAGTGTTCTGGTCTGCTCAATATAATTACCAAAGTTACCAAGGTATTCCCTCTTTAACAGAAGTAATGTCTATTATATAGTAGGAAAACATGGTGACATGATATAGCATGACACTGTAAACATGTTTATCCCAAAGCCAAGATTCTTTGTAAGGGTGTCATAAGCCATTTAGACGAGAACAAAAGGTCTTTAAATGTTTCTGAAGGAGACAGAATTCTGATTTTCTCATAAGTTTGTTAGTCAATTTCCAATGATATTACAAAATTGAAATGTTGTAATGAAATTATATTAAAATTGTATGCAGAAATTATAGAAATCTGTGATTAAAGAAGACTGATTCATTATGTTAAGCAAAAGTACTAGATTGAGTACTATATGTGCCAGATCTGACGATCCTCATTTGTACACATACACCCCTGAAACAGATGCACAGACAGTCAGTGTATTTTCCTTAAATGGTGTACTCTCATTGTGACTATCTGCCACATTTATGAAGGACACAATCAAGTTAACAGAGCTATATTTGCAAGTAGCAAGTCTTGTCGATTTCATACATAGTTTGCCATCCATATTCAAGGGCTTTACTTTCACTGGTTTGATTATTCATGATTTTGTATGTGCTGCTTAACTAGATCAACCTTCCCTATGTCTTCTATCCTGCCAACAGCACGAGCTCACCACTCCTTTTCCCACTCTGGCAATGTGACATCTCAACCAAATTTTCAAAGCCCTTCCACCTCCCTAGGACACTGAAGCCAGTTTTAGCAGCTGATCCACCTCCTCAACCCACTCCTCTGCCTCCTCTCCTTCTGTCCTACCAACACCACCAACTTGTCCCTCCCTTTCTTTCCTTGGCATCACAATCCCTCAGAAGAAATTACAAAACCCCATCCACTTCCCTAGGATATTGAAGCAGATATTAACAGATGGCAGCTGATGGACTATCTCATCCTACAAAACTACATATTGCCCCTCTCAACAGCATGAACCCATCTCTGTAATAGCTTTGAAAATATGGCTGAAGATTCAACACTTGGGGATCCAGGTTTGATCACAAGTGCCAGTAAAACTTTTCTGTGATGGCATGGGTCTGTTTATAAAAATGTTACTTGATTTACTTTGCGAATATGAGGTATGTTGGGAGGCGGGTGGAATGGACCATTGAAATGGATGATGATTGATGGAATGTTTGAAAATATTTGCATAAAACGATTTGTGAATGACAGCTGGAAGTTTAGTTTGAATGGGAATCTGAATGGAATCACTTGGTGACTCTCAAGGGACACTCCATAACTTATCTTTCTCCCAGTACAGGACTCAAAGAAAACCTTCACACTGAGTGTTTACAGTGAGCTACCTTGAAGGTTTTACATTGGGGGCTTAAGGGTAAACCCCTCCCAGATCCCTAATTTGGTAGTCCAAGAAATGGGATGGAAAATTGAGACACCGCAGAGACAGGCAGGAATGCAACATAAAACATCACACCTTCAGACAAAGAAGCAGACTATAATCCACACAGATTATCTGCCACGTTTATGATGTAAAGTTCTTTAGAAGGACACATCTGCTGAAGGAACAGCTATGTTAGGCTGCTACAAAAAAGATTTTACATTTTTTTAAAAATACGAAAATTATAGCCATTAATCTGATTGATAATAACCAAATGGTCAGTTTAACCCAACTTCTATGCAGATTGAACAACCTGTGCATAGCCAACTCTCATGCTGGCCTCAGAGTACAAAGAAATAAGTATTTATAACTAAAGGCCACATGTGAACAGTGTTTTGAACTAGGCTGTTTTTTGGTTGTTTTTGTTGTTGGCACAAGGGTCTGAGCTATATGGCTTCTTAATAAATTCTTTGAATGGTGGAAAATCATAAACCAAAACTAAATGAACGAGCTAGTTATGGCAATTGTAAGCCATTGAGTTACTGCTTCAAGAAAGAATTGTTATTAGGATTGCTTTGATTCTCATTCCTTTTCTGGAAGAAACACAACCTTGCCTCAGTTCTCACTTCTCATTCTGTGCCTTGCCCTTTTTATCTTCATGAGAACAGTCAAAGCTGAAATGTTGAAAGTGCCTTTTGAGGGAAGTGATAACTAAATCTTGATACCATTGAGCACATGGGATTGTGGGAAGAAGTAGATAATGAAATAAATAAAGGACAGGAGCCATGTGGACCTCCAGATGTTGTTGGATTGCAGTTCTCAATTCCTTGCCATTGGGTATGCTTGTTGGGGCTTCTGGGACTTTCATTCCAATAACAGCTGTGAGGCCCCAGCATTACCAGTCATTATCTAGGCAGGTAGTAAAATCCCTTTGGAATCGGTGACACTTGGTTCTTAAGATTGTACTGCTCATTTTAAAATTAGGTGCTGCTACAATACAAACCAAATAGCAACCCAGCCATAAAACAAGTTTAAAAGACTACATTAAAAGACAGAGTAAAAACTTCTTATTTATCCAGTTAGCTGATATGCTAATTTTTCTTGTGGAGATGGCTTGCCCGCATTTTGCCTTTTGCATCAGCCTGGGGCAAAGGATTTTACCTCCCTGGGTCTCCTGCCACCTGAGGGGCTAGATCGATGCTATCCCTTAGCTGGGCAGTGCGCAAAGACTGTGTATGGGCGCAGATTGAGAGCGATGGTGCAGAGCGACCTCAAAGCCCTTCCTCCATTGGCGCTATCTTGGACAACTTGTTGTGTCTTTAAAAGTGTTTTTGGCTAGATTTATTTTCCTGTAAATAACAAATGTGAGATACAGAACTTGGAACTTCCATATCGGACTATCGGAGAGTGTGTTGGGTCATGTGTGGCTGGTTATGCAGGCAGACTTGGAGCGAGCCTGCAGCTGAGCACCTCTTACACTAAAGTAAGAGGCGTGCGGCTGCAAGCACTGACAGGCGCGCGCTTTCTGGGCCTACCTGCATGCCCTGCCACACACACGCTTTCTTTCCAAGGAGAGTGTGGTGTGGTGTGCATGCAGACCTGGAAAGTGCGCACACCTGCCAGTGCTTACAGCTGAGCACCTCTTACTCTAGAGTAGAAACCGGGTAGGTGCCAGGTAAGAAGGACACACGCCAGGAAGGGGAGCCAGTGGGTGGGAAACTCCCCCCCCCCCCCCCCCGGCATGGTCTGATTTTCAGGGCCCAGAACCAAAAACAACCCTCCCGATTTCAGAAGGCTCACAAAAAATTGATCGGGGGCCTCAACAAAAGCTGGGAAACGAAATGGGGCAAAGTTACCCCAAAAACACAACTCTGCTAGATAATGTGCATTTATGTTGCTTAACACTATAAGGTTATAATTGAATTTGGGCCATTTTCCAATTCTGCCCTCCCCCCTTTGCCAGGTCATACTGAGTACTGAACTACAAAATATTATTTAAATGTATCAAATAAAATGTTTCCTTGGATGTCTTCTTTCTATTCTGCTAGTTTTATCTGAGCATTAAAATAAGTCCCTTATGAAGTCTGTGAATTTGCTGCTGGCTTAAGATTGGTTTACATTTTTACTACATAGTCATAAAGTATATTTTAATCAGAAATTAGCTTTGCAGTGTTTGTACTGTGTGGTTTTAAGAAAGCATAGAAATATCCCATAATTGGAAGAAGTAGACTCCGTTGTTCTTCAAACTATGCTGTCTTACTTGCTTTGAGCAGATACTGAGTATTTGAGTAGTTCTTTTCTTACTGTTAAGGATAAAAGTAGCATAGTTGTTCTGTCTTTTAAAACTGCATAGAAATACCTAACCTTTCCATGTTGTAAATCACCTAGATTATATCTCAATTCGTTAGTTAAATATCACACATTTCATTATTGGAGGCAGACAGATACAGAAAAAGAACTTATTGAACCAAGTTGTTACTCTATTCCAGCAATGGGAAGCCTGTCAATTTGACTGGTAACTTCTCCATATCTGGGCAGTGTGTGTGTTTGTGTGTTTGTGTGCGCGCGCGCAAGTAAGTTATCCTTTTTTAAATTGCCACATTGGTCAAAGGGCTACATGGCAGTTCATTTAATAATCCCCCTTTTGCCATTCCAAAAATTTCCCCCTTCTTCTAAAGACTGACTTAAAAATTGCATTTATGTAAAAGCTAAATTTTGGCATGGGTGAAACCCTGTGGCATTCAGAGTCTATTCCCTTATCTACTATGAATTTCCAAAAATTGAGTGATAATTAGGATAGGATAGAAAGGGAAAATAAAGACTATTACTTTAGTCATGTTTATCATTTCCATTTAACTCCTGGAAAGGTATGTGTGAATGAATTGTTCTGGAATAAAAATTCTCTGGTCCAATCTGACATATCGTAATAATCCAATCAGAAGTTATAAATAATATAGGTGTACTAGTTATGTGCTTTGTAAAAAGGAGTGTTGTACAAGTGGTATCAAATAAGGGCAGTGGTGGGGGAAATATTTATGTAGTGTCCTTTTTGTCATCCATATTAGGCTTGATCGTCTCTTTATTTTACTGGATACTGGGACAACACCAGTAACGAGGAAAGCAGCTGCACAGCAACTTGGGGAAGTTGTAAAGCTTCATCCACATGAGCTAAATAATCTGTTGGCTAAAGTAAGTATTTTCTTGGGTGTTTTGATAAGGAAAGCAATGGGATTTTTCCTGTACATCTAAATAAGACTAAAGGAGACAAACGTTTAGTTTATAATGGTTGTAGTGATTGTTCTAAATTACAGTATTCCATCTGCAGACTATCCAAATAAATTTAATAGGGTACTTTCATTAATTTGTATGATAGATCATGCTTAGCATATCAGTCTGTCTGGCTACTTTTTATTTAATGAGTTGATTTTCTGTATTGAAACTATTTACTAAAATTACAAGTTCTAAAATATGTTGTTGTTATTAGACATTTAAGGAAATGTCTTTAGGTTGTTTTTAGAATATTACTAATGATTTCTCACTTTTTAAAATCACATAAGCAACTGACAAAGGTGAGCTATGCATACTTGTGCTTGCCATGCCACTGTCATTTCTATCCTCTCAGACACATTAATGTTTTGGGAAAATGTAGTGTTGGCAAGGGATGAAAGGTTGAGTTTCAGAAGCCTTATGCTGATATTTTATGTAAGAACAGGTATACCTTTAATGCCATCTAGGATATTCTCTATGCAACAAATCACAACATTCTGATAGAAAACAAAATCTAGGTTTCAAAGTCTATATTTTTGAAAAGAGGGAGAGAAAATGTATCTAATTTTGGCAGGTTATGAGGACCTTTGAAATTTATAAATGCAAATGGTTCTTTCACTGACCTCATATATTCATGCCTCATTTTTAATCCAGTCCTCTTTATAAGACATTTAATGTTGTCCAGAATGGCTACTGAATGAGTGACGTATCCTTTAAAATATGTAATAACCAGTCTAATTTTTGAACATTTTACAGGTATTGATACACCTAAGGAGTACAAATTGGGATACCCGAATTGCGGCTGGACAAGCTGTCGAAGCAATAGTGAAAAATGTACCAGAATGGAACCCAACTCCACGCCCTAAACAAGGTGCTGTGTACAGAAATTGTTGTGAATTAATTAAAAAACATTCATCAAATTGTTTTTCTAAAACTGCTCTACATTGAATAAATTGTTAAAAGAAAAAAAGTAATACATTAAATCTAGTTCTTTAAATATTTTGTTAGCATCTACTTTTTCACCAAAACATTGCTAAAACAGGATTTAAATGCATTTTTGATCATTCTTCAGTTTGTATTGAACTCATTTTAAGTGTTTGCTGTCTTTAACTAGAACGTGGCTGTGAAAGTCCAATGGAAGAGTCAACTACCTTTGATCGATTGCGATTTGATCGATTTGATATCTGTCAACTTTTAAAACATGGTGCTTCTCTTCTTGGATCTGCTGGTGCAGAATTTGAAATTCAAGATGACACATCTGGTATTTGTCCATTTAATACTTTACACTATGCATTTAAATAATATTTACCATGCATTATTGTATCCAGAACCAGCCAAAACATTTTATTGCTTTACACAAGGATTATATGGTGCCAATTCCCAATTCCATAGACGCGTGTAGCTTATTAGGGGATATAATCTTCCATTGTATCTGATACTGTGGTTATATTGGAATACTTCTGGGAAAAGGGAACGATTGCGAAGATAATACTATTGTCCTCTGCTATTTGCTGCCGAAAGAATGAAACTGTTTGTTTTAATTCAGTTCAATAGCTTTTATAGTACTTCCATTTATTGGAGATTTGAATTTTTGTCAGATTCTATAATTAGATTTCTAGTTGAGTTTGTACAACTCTGATATCAATTTAAGAATATTTTCCACATTCCTCCTGCTTTAAGATGGTAAACAAATGAAGAGACTGATAGCACACCCATGAATTACATTCTTATACACACTCAGAAACAAAATAATTTTTAGCAGTTCTATTACAGTATATTCTGGTGTATAAGACTACTTTTTAACCCAAGAAAATCTTCTCAAAAGTCAGGGGTCGTCTTATACGCGGGTGCAGTCTTATGCATGGGAATTGTCTTAACAATATATTTTAATTGGAAAAGTTGGGGGTCGTCTTATACGCCCAGTCGTCTTATATGCCGGAATATACGGTACTCTTCAGTTACATTTTAAAACTACTTCACCCAGTATTTACATGGTTTGTAAGTCATGTCTCGTCACAAAATGTACAGTGTATATTTCTAATGGATATCGAAGCTGGTATAAATAATCTTAACTTGTTATGTACTGAATTTGTTGTTTAAATAGTGAGTTACTGTGCTTTATGATTCAACTTCTAGATTATTATATTACTTATATTGTGGTTTCCGGCTACCATTGAAAGTTTTCCTAGGCAAAGTTCTGCTTTGGCCAGTGAAGAGAAGACACTCTTCACTGATTTACCCCTTCTTTTTACAGCTACAGCACTGGATGGGCATTATAATGCACTGGGTGGGCATTACAGAATGGGAAAAGTGAAATTGGTGAAGATCAGCTCTGTCTTTTTTGCATTAGCGCAGTGTTCCCACCCTTTGATTCTTCAGTTGTTTTGGCCTTCAATTCCCGGAAATCCCAGCTATTTTACCAGCTGTTATGAATTGTGGGAGATGAAGTTCAAAACATCTTGAAAACCAAAGGTTGGGAACCACTGCTGGATCTGGAGTTTCATGGACAGAATGAGCCCTTCCCAGTGAATATATACTCTGAATTTAAAACAGCAATAAAAACCGGTCTCTTCTGGCAGTCTTGTTCAGATTATTTTTAAATTATGAAATTTAAATTACTGATGGTTTATAATATGCATTAGTCTTATATGTTCTTTTAATTTAATGTTTTAGCTCGTGTATGTGTTAAGTGTTTTAACTGATGGTTCATGTTGTGTTTTAATATGTTCTTCCCCACCTCGATGCATGAATATTAGGAAGAATTTCCTAACTGTGAGAGCTATTCAGCAATGGAACTTTTCTGTTCCTGAGTGTGGTAGAGGCTCCTTCTTTTTAGGCTTTTAAACAGAGGCTGGATGGCCATCTGTCAGGGGTGCTTTGAATGCGATTTTCCTGCTTCTTTGCAAGGGGTTGGACTGGATGGCCCACAAGGTCTCTTTCAACACTGTGATTCTATGTAGATTAGAAGTTCTTGTTATTATTATTTGTGAGTGGTAGATTTTGAATCAAAACCACTGTGTGGCTGCAGTTTAACATTGAGTTATTCAGTCTTGAAGCTACTTCAGCTACCTTGTCAGTACTGGTTTACTGCATACACTTAATAATCTGGAATAGTGAGGTAGCTTTTTCAAAATATTGGGCTTTCAATATATTTGACCTAATTGGTTTTGACAAAAAGACTGCCTTGAAAACATTTGTGATGGAAATATGAATTTTAACAAAATTGAAGCATACTATTTAAAAGTCTGTTAATATCTATTAAATCTTCCAAAGAAACAGACATGTATCTCTTTAAATACTGTTGAAGTTAAGGTAGTGCCAAAACTGAATATAATGCAGGTTGTGTTTTTAAAATTGGAGCATTATTTTATTTTCAATTCAAGTTTTCTACATCCATCAAAAGGCAGCCACTGAAGGTAAAAAGCACAAATAATCTTTATGATGTGTTTTGGGAGAAGTTTGTTACTTTTTTCAGTTTACTTCTAGAAATTGATATACATTCAGTGGTTTATTTTAGCAATTGATAGATATGGTGTTGTACTTTTCACTCTTAAGGGGACGTTGATCCGAAAGAAAGGATTGCAAGACAAAGGAAACTGCTTCAAAAGAAGCTCGGTCTTGATATGGGAGCTGCAATTGGAATGAATACAGAAGACCTCTTCAATGATGAGGATTTGGACTACATTCCTGCATCATCATTTCTTGTACACAAACAACCTGTATGTAAAACTTTAGGCTGCTTGACTGTAGAGACCTTTGTAAAGTACTGCTGCTGTAATGAAACACTGTGGTTTAAATATTATACTTATAATCATTTTAGTTTTTATGGAGATAACACATATCAAAATGTAAACATCTGTTGTATATTGTAAAAAATAGTTTATATAATAAGCACTGAGCAATTTCTTACTGTTTTTAAGCTGCAGTTAGATAGGGTCGCTTGGATAACTGTGATTGGATAAGCCACTTCTGCTCTCACAGAGGTAGTTCCCGATTTCCAGTGATTGCCCCTTCCAACTACAGCCATATATGCTGTATTTTACAATCTTCCAGAAAGTTTTTTGACCCTTGCGAAGCTATTGAAAGGAAATAGGAGATGCTGTTTTACACAAGCATTGTTTATTATGATTTAAGACAGACTAGCCACTAAATCTTTGCATCTTTTCAGACTCTCCAGGCTGCTGAGTTGATTGATTCAGAGTTTCGAACTGGTATGAGTAGCAGACAAAAGAATAAGGCTAAAAGAATGGCCAAGTTGTTTGCAAAGCAGAGATCAAGAGATGCAGTAGAAACAAATGACAAGAGGTACTGTCATAGTTGAAAATTATTTGATTCATTGATTGAATACATGCTGATAAGTTACAAGAATAACAAATGGCATAAAATACAAATGGCACATTTCCATCTCTTTCCAAAACGCTGGGGTGAGTTTTTTCCAGTTATCTAAGGAAAATGTCACCATACAAGATGACTATATTGGAAAGCTTGATAAAACTTCAAAGTACACAGAAGTGCAAACAAACGGGGACAAAAAGTAATCCTGCAATCTCACTCTCATTCTACCCCTTTGAGTAGACATTGAAGAATGACAGATGGTGAGGAAAGGTTCCTGGCTGAAAATACTTTACATTTTGTTGTAGGCACCATCTGAGTCTGAAAAGCAATCTCATTCATCAGTTCTTTTTCAGTACTCCAGAAATATATATATTGCACATTATGTTTTGTGCTTTCAAGTCATTTCTGACTTATAGCTACTGCAGCATGAATGTATTACAGGAGTTTCTGAGCAGAATGTTTTCCTCTGAGGCTGAGAGAGCGTGACTTGCCGAAAGACACCCAGTGCATTTTCATGGCTGAGCAGGGATTCAAACTCTAATCTCCCAGAGTCTTAATAAAACCACATTCTCTCTTTTCATTGTATAATAGCCGTCCCCTGCCACACGTTGCTGTGGCTGTCTGTGTATATGTGTTTTGTATGTGTATATATGTGGTTTTGCGCTTGCATTGTAATGTATTTTTATTTTTTGTCTTTTTAAGTCTCTTTTACTGTGTTTTCCAGTGTTTTTTATGAGTGATGGTCACTCGTTGGCCTGATCAGTGTCTTGTGTCCAAATTTGGTGTCGATTCACCAGTGGTTTTGAGTTATGTTAATACCACAAATGAATATTACATTTTTATTTATATATTATTCAATTATATTTCATAATTGGAAAACAATTCTTAAGAAAGTGTTCAATCTACAAATAATAATTGTCTTTCACTAGAACTTGAGCTTTTTTGCAACATATAATGCCAGATTATTACCTGTTTTCTTTCTCTATATTTTCAAAACGTTCTGATAGATATTAGTAAATATGATAATTTCCCCCATGTATTCAAAGTAAGTACCGCATAGTTAAACAGGAAATAACACTTTCAAACCAGGAACACAAAATTTTGTTACACTGTGTCACAGATTTACATTTTGTCTCAGATGTTACGCTGGTGTCAATTGAGATGGTTTTGAGAAATTTCTGTATGCCTACAATGTATAAATGTTTTGTTAAGTGATGTTACACAACATCTCACAAATACTTAAATGTTTCTTCTTTTTTAAAAGCAATGATAGCACTGATGGAGAACCAGAAGAAAAGAGGAGAAAAATTGGAAATGTTATCCTCAGTCAACCAGCATCTGACACCAAACTCTTGGTAGAGAATATTCCAGAAGAGGTACAGAATACATTCATAACAAATTCAAGTTATATCAAAAACTCACTGCAGTGATTAACTGAGGTCTAAATCATATTATTAGTTCCAACTAGAGTAGGTCACTGAATTAGTGAAATTTGTCTTAAGTGTGGACCTAGATAACCCAGTTCAAAGCAGATATTGTGGGATTTTCTGCCTTGATATTCTGGGTTGTATGGCTGTGTGGAAGGACCCTTAGTGGTTCAACTGTAGTTAGGACTAGCACTTGGTTGTAAGACATTAATAGCTTGGACTTAACAGTAACTAAACCCTATAATCTGTTATACACCTGAGCTTTCTCCCATTAAAGGTAATAGGACTTGAGTAATGTGATTGCAGCATTCTAAATGCTTGCAACGTGGTAACTGGTTAAGGCATCAGGATGATGTGGAAAGTTATATTTTCCTGTCCTTCTGTCCTTCTGGGTTTGTTCTGTGTAACAGTATGGAAAGGTGACTAAGACTGAAGAAAGGGATTTTTTAAAATGCGCTCATGATCTTTTTTAGCAACCAGTTAAAGAGACTCAACTTTCTTTCAAATGTTCACAACAAAAAGTTAGTTTCTACTGCATCTCTTGATCTCTTTGTTCAAAGTTTAGGCTAAGGTTTAATGTAGTAAAATGTAATCAAGATGGTTTATCTTTTAAGAAATAATTTGGAAGCTAAGTCTTCTTAGGGTGTTTTTTTTCTTCTCTTTTAGACGAATGAATGGCCTCTCGAAAGTTTTTGTGAAGAAGTGTGTAATGATCTCTTTAATCCATCGTGGGAGGTAAACATTTCTCTTAACTGTCTTCAGTCATATAGGATTGAAAGGAAAATTCATTTTATCAAGATGCTTGTGGTGCATTTCTGATTTAGTAAGGACACCAGTTTTATTTGCTCAAATAAAAGAGTAGTACAATTGTATTGATTTTTTTGCACAAAGATTTAACGATTTATCAGTAAATTGACATGCAAGACCAATAATATGTGATTCAAACATTGCATATACATGCAGTGGTTGTACAGGCATCAGTACTGTGAGTGCCAAATCTTCCTTCATATATCATAACCAAACTATAGTTTGGTCATTAGAAAGTTGTTTTACTTTTGAACTTTTCCCATTGTGCAGATTACCTCATCAAGCTTTTGGTTTGCTGCAGTATCTATAAAATATGTATGTGTTTTGGAAAGCCTTTCCATTGTTGCATAGTTCATGATTGAAGAAGCCCAATGACCTACAGGCTTAACTGTATTTTAGAAATTTAAAACTCTTAATTTTATTAATTGGTGTTGTCCATTGTTTGTATATCTTTTAATTTATGTATTGTTCTGGTGCTGTGTAATTTTATTCTTCTTTGTGGTACCTTGAGTGCTTTTGTGAGCTGCCCTGAGTCCCTTTTGGGAGATGGGGCAATGTATAAATAAAGTATTATTATTGTTATTATTATTATTATTATTATTATTATTATTATTATTATGTGGACTTTTAGCTACAGTCTCCCTTCACATTTGCATTTTTGACTTTTACAAATTGGATTAGTCAAGGATTTGATTTAAGGTGTTTTTTTTTCTGGTGATCAAGTTTCTGTTGTCAGCTTCGTCCTCAGCTTCCTCCACTCATGCTGGAGGATCTAGAGATTTTTAGAGATAACATCTCTAGAAATCTCTAGATCCTCCAGTGCAATTCTATAACCAGCTTCCAGTGGGAGTTGACCAAAAAATTCTAGAAAACCTATAAATTACTAGAAAGATGTTGTATCAGGTTAAAAAAATAGCAATTTCTTTATTTGTAGGTTTTCACCTTCATGGAGGTCCTGTGCCCCTAATAAATAATATAATAATAAAACTTTATTTATATCCCGGCACCATCTCCTCAAGGGGACTCGGAGCAGCTTACATAAGGCCAAGCCCGACAACACATCAATAAAACAAAAAACTATAAGCAAAAACAATACAATTAATATAACTCACATATAAACAGTAGCACACAAGGATTTAAAAACCCTAACCCTAGCAAATGCGGAGGATCTGACTGAACTCTTTTTATTTTGGCTGATTTGGTGTTTAAATATTTGCTTGTGTATTCCTGCATGTCAGGGCTTGGACTGGATGCCCCTTGTGATTTCTTCCAACTTTATGATTCTATGTATCTGAACTGCATTTTAATGGCTTTTCAGATTCGGCACGGTGCAGGTATTGGACTGAGAGAAGTACTTAAAGCACATGGAAAAAGTGGAGGTAAAATAGGAGACAGTACTTTAGAAGAGGTAAGAATAGTATGCAATCCTAGATAAAGTCTAGTCCGCACTGACACAGTTGCAGTGCTAATTGTTCAGCTCCTCTGTGTCTATGCTTGTATGGTTAAAATGTGGAGACAGATTGCTAAGGGAAGTAGAATACTAGGGAATTCCATCATATGTTAAAATGAGCATTTTTTTGCAATCTTGTAATTACTTGTTCACACCTCCTACCAACCTGTTATCAAACTTAGAATCAAGGACTGTATTTTTAGCAGTAAAACAGTGCTTTTTCTTTTTTTAAAATGCTGTCATTTGTTGTTTACTCTCGGGGGCTTATAACAAGATAGTGGTAGTCACATAAAAAACTTGACATTGGTCTCACCATGTAATCCAGGGGTCCTCAAACTAAGGCCCGAGGGCTGGATAGAGCCCTTCAAGGTCATTTACCCGGCCCTCGCTCAGGGTCAACCTAAGTCTGAAACAACTTGAAAGCACACAACAACAACAATCCTATCTCATCAACTAAAAGCAGACTCGCACTTCTTATTGAAATACCAATAAGTGTATATTTGATAAAATTGTTCTTCATATTAATTATTGCATTGTTTTAAAGTGGGTTTTTTTGCACTCCAAATAAGATATGTGCAGTGTGCATAGGAATTCACTCATGTTTTTTCAAATTATAATCAGGCCCTCTCTAACAGTTTGAGGGAGTATGACCTGGCCTTCTGTTTAAAAAGTTTGAGAACCTCTGATGTAATCGAATTGACTGGTAGAAAAAATTGTGCTGCTTGCTATTTTTATTTCTGAAATGTGTATTACCTTTTAATGTTCTTCATGAATGTGAATTTAAATAAACAGCTGTGATGGAAAAGAGCAAAGAAATGCCTGACTTAATCCTCAGGTTTTTTCATTGGCTGCTTTTTCCATGCTAGAAGACTAAAAAATAATGCCAGTCACTTGCAGCCTAAAATGATACTTTATAAACTTTGAATTCTAAATGTTTGTTCTCTTGCTGGTATAAGACAGTCCCAAGTCTGTGGTTGCTCTTCATTAGTATTCTTTTAGTGTCTAGGTCATAGAATGGGCGTGTCTTTATCTTGGTTTTATTAATTTAATAACATTTGTTAAAATATTCATTTAGTTCCATCAGTAAGATGAGGTAACACTTATTTTTATGTCTTGCAAAATATGTAAACACTTCAGCTAATTAAAATTTTTATTGTTTTATCAAACAGATGTTTCAACAGCACCAGGACTGGCTGGAAGACTTGGCTATCAGACTTCTTTGTGTATTTGCACTAGACAGATTTGGTGATTTTGTTTCAGATGAAGTAAGTATCAATATTGAAAGTCTGCTGTGTGTACAGGGGTTTACTTTTGGCTTGTCTTTCTACTATTCTGTTTATTGCTGTTGTTTTTGATTTTAGGTTGTGGCACCAGTGCGAGAGACATGTGCACAGACTTTGGGAGTGGTACTCAAATACATGAATGAAAGTGGAGTTCATAAAACTGTGGCTATCTTGCTGAAGTTACTTGCACAAGAGCAGTGGGAAGTGAGGCATGGTGGTCTGCTGGGGATAAAGTATGCATTGGCAATTCGTCAGGTATGGTTTTAAGTTTCATCAGGATGTCGTAGTTCGTTCCATTATTCCAATTAGATGTGGAACTATCCCATTGTGCCGAAGCATATGTATGAATGTTTTAGCCAAGTAAAGTCAGTAGGAAGTCTTGCATGCTTAATCACAACATTTGGGTTGCATGAGGTTCTGCATTCATAGATTTTTCCACCAAACTGTTTTGTAAATATATTTTTAATCCCATATCCATACTGTAATTGTACAGTAAGTGACACCATTTTTACTCACCATTGTATGGAATGGGACTTGAGCATCCACAGATTTTGGTATTCACAAGTGGAGAAGGGTCCTAAAACAAGCCCTAGTGGATAGCAAGGGCTGACTATAGTTATTTTAGCAATTTATTAAACATCTATAAATGGAACCCCCCCCCCAATGTTCTGTAAATTCTGGAACTGCATGTTTTTTTAAGATTCTAAATATGCCTTCCACTAAAGTAATTTTTCAGTCTCTGGCCCATTATGAATTTTGGTGTGTTCTTAAGCCATTTCCTCTCATCACTCACTGGATCAGTTGGGCTTCTCCCAGCCTCTCATGGTCCCACATTCTCCTGTTGCAAAGCAATGACAAAGGGATAGTAATCTCAGTGGAGATTGCATGGTGGAATATATATTAAAAACTAACACCTCTGTGATAGAGTTGGGCCCGAATCACTATTAACAACAAGATTCGTAGTTTTCATGTAATTTCCAAAGACAGAAAGGGAAAGAGAGAGACAAAAAAAACCCCAGTGAAATGAATTCAGAGAGACGATATTTTCGGAAAGAGTTAAGTCCACAAAATACCTGAGGCAGGAGGATCTGTGACTTCTCTTTCTCTCCTTAGCAGAATAAGCCTCCTCCATTTTTTCTTGGAAAGTTACCTCCTCTTCCAGAGAGGGCCCTTAGAACTCACTTTCCCAGTGGTACTAGCATAGGGTGGCCATTGCAAGTTCCTCTTGGAGCATGATGCGAGTTGAAGTTGCTCTCTGTCTCCCCTCTCCCCCCCCCCCCCCCCAGCTCTCAACCAATAAAAAGCCCGGTCATGTCCATGTTCTGATTGGCTGAGAATGGACACAACCGGCGACTACAATTCCCAGAACCCTCTCTTGCAGTTTGTCTTATTTTAAAAAAATGTTAAGTTTAAAACTTAAAATAATTCTAAAACATCTTGGCAGGTCTGCAGTTATAAAAAGAATCTACAACTGAGGTAGACAGATAGGCCTTAAAATGGCTTGAGGATTGAGCCTTAAAGTTTCCCATTTCAGCCAATGGGCCAAATCTTTGCCAAATGAAATGGAAAACACCCCTCCCCTTTCGGGTAACTTGCTGGTAAACGAAAAGAGGGGTCAAACGAAAATGGACCAGAAAACGATATGCCTTTTGGCCCGAATGCACATGACTACTCTGTGATCCTGAGAGCCCACTTCCATATTGTTGCTTATTCCTGGTAGTATCTATGAAGAAACAATAATTCAGTGTATTGTCGAACAATATTTCCATTCAGGATTGCTGGAATGCGGATGGAAACGTTTCCTACCTCTTCCAAGTAATCCCAAAATTTCAGTATACAGGAATGGGGAAAGTAAATTTCCACATCTTGTGTCAGAAGATACACATATGGAAAATGTATGCTCAATAACGTGATAGGGAGTAAAAGTACATATATGTTGAGATGCCAGGCATGTATGAGCACACTCCAGTGTGTGCTCTCTAATTTCCTAGTACATGCCAGATGTGACCCTTAGGGTTGTGAAGAGATTGTGTATCCTTGGCTGAAGCAGTCTCTTGTTTTTTAAAAACCTTATTTGTGATTTGCCCATTTTACTTGGCTAAAGAAGACATTTCCATCTTGTCTTTACTAATAATAAAATAAAATATATTGTATATACATATAATATTTATGATATTATAATGTGATACAATATAATACTAGTAATAATAAAATATTATAATTATAATTATATATTTACATTACATGTAATATTACTAATAATATTACAATATAATGGTATAGTGCAATGTAGTAATATATAATGCTGATACTGTACTATGCTAATAATATAATATATTGTATGAAAATAGATATTATAAGCCGCTCTGAGTCCCCTTCGGGGTGAGAAGGGTGGCATATAAATGCCGTAAATACATAAATAAATAAGTAAATGACACAGCATGCCCTTGTTCCTTAGCTACAATTTGCAATATCCCTTTTCCTTGTCTTGTTTACAGTCTGGCCCTGTCTTACGATAGTTGTCACCATAGGTTTCGAGCATTGTTCTGAGTTTTAAATTGTTGTTTTATATGCTATATGTTCTACTATTTTGCATTGTACTATGTGTTTATTTTATGCTCTGTTTTAGACACTTTGTGCCATATGTAATCGGGTCCGAGTCCCTTCAGGGAGATGGAGGCGGGGTACAAGAATAAAGTTATTATTATGGTAAATTGTATTTAAAAAGTCATAGGGTCTACTACACACTTAAAAGTGGACTTTATCTTTTGATTTTAAGCCTCCCACTTCTTACTTTTGCAGGACTTAATTGATACTTTATTGCCAAAAGTCTTGCCTGCAATAACAGAAGGTCTACAAGATCTAGATGATGACGTTCGAGCTGTTGCTGCAGCATCTTTAGTACCAGTGGTGGAAAGCCTTGTCCACCTTCAGCCAGAAAAAGTGAGTCAAAGTACATTGACACTAATGATATAGATATAGGTACACATATGTATATATTCATTGATTGTGTTCTAAACAAGATTACAAGGACTGAAAGTTACTTTGTCTTGTGTCTGTATTTAAATTTTAGGTTCCCTTTATTCTTAATATTTTGTGGGATGCACTCTTAGATCTTGATGACCTCACAGCTTCCACAAACAGCATCATGACCCTTCTGTCATCCCTCTTGACTTACTCTCAGGTCCAAAAATGCAGGTAATCTAGATAGAAGTGTTCTTACCCTTTTCTTTCATAGCAGCTCAAATGTGATTTTTGCTTGATAGGAAAGCATTCATAGTATATTTGCATGTTTTAGGCTTCATATAATACATTTTATGCTAAATTTCAGGCATGTGTGGTCTGGAAATGTAGGAGGATTTAAAAGAAAGGATTAAAAATGCTGCAAAAGGAGCAAGATTTGATGAGGGAAAGATTTCTCAGTTTTTATGCATATATTTTAGTGCCTTCTCGGGAAACTTAGCCTGAAATGTTGACGTTAATGACAAAATATAAGATGGGATACAATAAACAGGAGAAAAAGGAAAAACGTAGATGGTAAGATGGCTTTTGCTCCTTATGTCTGGCCTTAGTCTTGTAGTTCCTACTAGACAATAAATATATGGTAAAGTGCTGCTACATAATAATAATTATTTTAGTTTTTATCCACCTCTTCTTGAGGCAGGTTACAACATAGTTAAAACATATAATCTTTGTAAACATTCTATAACATTCATATATTAAAATTAAAATATTTCTATAAAATTCATGTTAAAATACATAGAATAAAACACAAGACGTGAGTTTAAAATTCATGATTAAAACAGACTGGATAGGTCTGCTGGAAGAGAGAGGTCTTCAATTGTGTGTTAAATTTCTGACACCTGATTTAACTATTTGAGTTCTTCTGGCAGATCATTCCCATAGTCTTGAGGCAACAGATAAAAAAGATCCTCAGGGTGACTTACATAAGGGATGCTTCTACATGCATGAAGGATTTGGCATCTAGCAAATAGCAACCTATTCCCACTTTATGAAATTATTTTTTAAAAGGAAGGTCTGACTCAGTAAGTAAGAGTAGTACCCTTAAGATGGCTGCCAAGCTAATCAAAGGAAAGGGAAAAATAAAACACCTGAGACGCCCATTAGAGCTCTGAAATGGAAAAGAATGACCCAGATGAGTGCTGCACTAAGGCCGACGAAAGGGAAGAATTGAAAATGATTTTAATTACTTCCAGTGATAGTGAGACAAAAGATATTCAGTCAGAAACAGCAAATAGACTGTCCAAAAAATTGCAGCATGGTAGATTGAGGAATATATTTTCCTTGTGTGCCTAAACAACAAAATGTTGAGTTGCTGTGAGTTTTCCGGGGTGAATGGCCACGTTTCAGAAGCATTCTGTCCTGACGTTTCACCCACATCTATGATAGGTATCCTCACAGGTTGTGAGGTCTGTTGGAAACTGGGCAAGTGAGGTTTATATATCTGTGGAATGTCCAGGGTGGGAGAAAGAACTCTTGTCTGTTTGAGGCAAGTATAAATGTTGCAATTGGCTACCTTGATTAGCATTGAATGGCCTTGCAGCTTCAAAGCCTGGGGGAATCCTTTGTTGGGAAGCGTTAGCTGGCTCTGATGGTTTCATGTCATGCATTCCCCGTTTTGTTAAGTGTTCCTCTTTATTTACTGTCCATATTTTAGAGTTTTTTTAATACTGGTAGCCAGATTTTGTTCATTTTCATGGTTTCAAGCATACTCTGCCAAGTTAGCAGCCATGTCAACAACCTTCTCAACTAACACCTCTTTGCAGAGCTGTTACTTGGGGCACTCTTTCTTCTTTTACAAAACAAAAATAGACTCAACATATACTTTTTCAGCGCATCTGTTGGCTCTCTGCTCATCCAGAGAAACCCTGGGCCTTCCTAAACTACAAACCCCAGAATTCTGCAAGAGGCAGTCACAGTATTTAAAGTGGATTAAAGTGGATAAATGCTTAAATGAGGCCCAAATTAGAGAGCGGTTTATATAACTACAGTATGTTCTTGTCTCGACATGCTTCAGTTTCTGTATCCCCAATCAATCACAAAATTTCTTATTTTGCGTATTTCAATGCAATGAATTTTTCCCCTTTCTCAGTATCAGATTAGTAAAAAACTTTTTCTAATGTGGGAAAGTTAAAAGATCAATAGTATGAGTAAGGTGAGAGAGACCTCGCTTGAAATCTTGGGAACACCGTTGGACTGTCTTTTTACCTTGTGTGCTATAATTTCTTAATATAAAAAGTTTATGATACATAGAATGTATTTTTCTTGATAATAAAACATTAAAACATTTTTATTTAAAACATTAATATTAATTGAAAAACATTTTAACTTTTTCTTCGTCATTTATTTTCTTTCCATTGCACCCCAGTATTCAGCAGTCCCTTACAGTTCTAGTACCCCGTGTATGGCCATTCCTACATCATACAATATCTTCTGTTCGAAAAGCAGCATTAGAAACTCTGTTTACCCTCTTGTCTACTCAAGATCAGGTAAGAGTGATGTTAAAGTGAACTTGAAAAGAAAATAAATGTGCATATACTTAATTCCAGTTATGCTTAAATCCTATGGGATATACTATATATCCTATATTTAATTACTGTATTCTTTCCTTTGAAAGGGGTAAAGCATTTTACAATAGTATTAAAATTTCACAATCCAGAAACATTTCAAAACACAATTAAAGCAGTATGCAAATACAATCTTTTTTTAAAAAAAGCGAATGAATAGGGATGGGGAAGAGTGAAGAAAATGAATGAATGCATGCATTCAAACACACCATGGGGCAAAGGAGGAAAAAAAGAAAGATTGTGGTTAGGCGATCCCTCGTTCTCAGAGTATGATGGCTTTCCAAGTGTAGTGTCTTGGTAGTGGGTCCTTACGTGACAGTAGAGCGCTATTCTTGATCCACCTATTCTTCCACAGTGAGGGCATTGGTTTCCAGGTGGAAGACGGTTCCGATCTGGGTTGGCTTGACATGCCTTCCTCTTGGCACATTTCTCCCTTTCGCCCTTCATTCGTTCCTCTTTGAATTCCGCATCACTGCTGGTCACAGCTGATCTCCAGTTAGGACACTCAACGGCCAGTGCTTTCCAATTATCTCTTTAGTGTCTTTGCCACAGTTTTTAAGGTTATCTTTAAGCCTATCTTTAAATCTCTTTTCCTGGCCACCAAAATTCCGTTTTCCGTTCTTGAGTTGGGAGTATAGTAACTGCTTTGGGAGATGGTGATTGGACAACGTGGCCAGTCCAGCGGAGTTGATGGTGTAGGAGCATCCCTTCAGTGCTGGTGGTCTTGGCTACTTCCAACACACTGACATTTGTCCGCCTGTCTTCCCAAGAGATTTGCAGGATTTTTTTGGAGGCAACACTGATGGAAACATTCCAGGAGTTGAGTGTGACGTCTGTAGACAATCCATGTTTCACATGTAACAGGGTTGGGAGGACAATGGCTTTATAAACAAGCACCTTGATATCCCTATGGATGTCCCAATCCTTAAACACTCTCTGCTTCATTCGGAAAATGCTGCACTCGCAGAGTTCAGGCAATGTTGTATTTCAGTGTCAGTGTTCACTTTTGTGGAGAGGTGGCTGCCGGGGTAGCGGAAATGGTCAGTATTTCCAAACGTTACACAATTAAGCTGTATTTCTAGCATTACAGAGGGATTGGCTGGTGCTTGCTGGAAGGACACTTTGGTTTTCTCAATGTTCAGTGAGAGGCCGAGCTTCTCGTATGCTTCTGCAAAAGTATTTAGAGTGGCTTGTAGGTCTTCTTCTGAAGGCTTACAGACTGTGTTATCATATTGGAGTTCTATAACAGATGTTTTGACCTTCGTTTTGGCTTTCAATCTGCTTAGGTTAAATAGCTTGCTATCTGTATATATGTATGTGTGTGAGAGAGAGAACAAGAAGGAGAAAACAAGGAAGTAGGAGCTAACAGAAGAAAGCAGAGGTTAAAAAAGGAGACAGGACAGAAATGCCAAGTATCTTTATCTCCCCCCTCCCCCAAATAAAAACCCTTGTCAGCACTATAGGCTGAAGAAATTCATGTTAGGTTCCAACTTACTTTGTTAAAAATAATGAACTTTGATGCTCTCTTTTTCTTTTGTTAGGATTCTGCAACTTGGCTTACACCCATTTTGCAAGACATGTTAAGACATATCTTTCAGTTCTGTATTTTAGAAAGTAATCAAGAAATTCTGGAACTAATACATAAGGTATGTATCATTGTAGAACTTAAATTCACTCTGCCTGTAAATACATGTGAATGTTTGTCCTTGTGTATGATTGTCTTTTTTTCCTTCTTTTTGTAGGTGTGGCTTGAACTGTTAAGCAAGGCTACTGTACAATACGTAGTAGCAGCTGCGTGTCCATGGATGGGAGCTTGGCTCTGCTTAATGATGCAGCCTTCTCATTTGTCTATTGATTTGAATATGTTGCTAGAAGTGAAAACTAAACTGAAGGTCAGAAAAGAAATTGTAATAGACAATATCATTACAACAATATTGTTTTTAATACCATATCAGCTGGAATTGAATACTTGTAACACCACAACAGGCTTTTCTCTTAATTTAATAAATTCAGGATCACAGTTGTTACTATATTGATTTATATTTCCCTTCCCCCCAAGATTTTGACTAAAGGAGCCATAACTTCTGTCAGTCATTATACATTGGCACTTTACTTAACCTTGGCCTAAGCATGCAAATCCAGTACTTAAAAATAATAGCATGGGCAATTATATAACATTGTCATCTTTAGTCTTAAAAACGTCTGAATTACTATTAAATGGCCAAATCATCTTTTAAAATTACTGATTACGTAGACTATATCATAGTGTTTATGTTTATTGTTAATTCTGTAATGTCTTTGTAGGGTATACATAGCTGTACGTGTATTACGTATGTAAAGTATAACGTATTTTTACACCTTATATCCAATATGCTTTCCTTCTATTCTTTCATTCCCTCTGATAGCAGTATTGAGATAAAAAAGATTGAACACAAATATTTAATAAATTCATGTCAAAAGCATTACATAAATAAATAAGTTCAAAACTGGTAAAATAGAGGGATCACAAGCGGCTAAATAATTTTAGACAAAAAACAGGCAACAGCAACTGCATTGTCTGTAGCTTTAAACAGTTCTTCCTCTGAGTCTGGGGCGCAATGCCAGCTAGGTGTAGGTTTAAGACATCTGGGGTTAGTAGCCAGAAATCATTTCTGCCAGCAAGCAAGTCTATAGAGGTGCTTGGGAGCAGAGTTGCTCCCTTGCCACACTTTACACAGAATTAAAGATAAAGGCTTGTGATGCAGAATTAAAGATAAAAGTTTGTCCTCCATAAGCCTGAACCTCATACACATCTGTCTTCTGAGGCCACTGACCCTTCTCACCTAATATGGCCCAGCATAACTGTGTAAAAAAACCTGTTTTCAGTGATACGGTTAAAAAGTTTAAAAAGAGATGGCTGCTAGATTTTCTCAGATCCTTTACAATTGTTTTTAGTGTGGGTTTTATTGTAGTAGAAAAGCCAGGCCTCCACATTCATTGGGTTTAAGGACACTGTGAAAGTGAGAAACGTGATGGTATATCTCTGTAAAAATTTCTAGGTGCTCCAGGACAACTCTGTGGTCAACTTCTGATGGAAGCTGACCATACAATTGCACTAAGGGGCCTAGACAAGACATTTCTGTGATAAACATTTTAATCATATCCACAAATGTGGAGGACCGACTATATTTGCAGCATTTATGTGCCACCCTTCTCATTCCGAAGGGACTCAGAGCAGCTTGCAAGATACATATATATACACACACACACATACATATAATACATTATACCATTAGCACAGTACAATATCAGCACTATACATTACTATATTGTACTATATAATTATATTGTAATATTATTAGTAATATCAAATGTAATATAAAATATATAATTATAATACATTATTAGTATTATACTGTATTATATTTTAATATTATAAATATTATATTATATACAATATATTATATTATATTACATTATATTATATATTAGCATAGCACAGGAGACAAGGTGGAACTGTCCCCTGGCCTCCCCTGTCTTTACTCTGGCTCAGAGCGGCAGTTGGTGCTGAGGAGAGGGGTCTCCCCCCAACTACTACTAGTAGTAGTACTCATAACAGGAGTTTTTCAGGCCTCCCTGGGAAGGGAGTTCCTGGACTCAGAGGCATCCACCAAGAAGGCCCTTTTTGGTTTTCCCACCAACTATGTTTACAATCATCTCGCATTTGGTCAGTCTGTTTCATATGTTCATTAACTAGAGGACAGGACAAAGAAATGTAGTCTTTTTCTGGTAAGTGTGAGTGAGAGAATCTAGTTGCAAACAGCATTGTAACATGCATCTCCTCTTACATGCGTAGTAGAACCTTGCTATCTGTCCTACCATCTTCAAAAGCACAATTGGTGGAGACGAGAGGCCAGGCCTTCTCAGTGGTGGCTCCTTGGCTGTGGAATTCCCTCCTCAGCAACACCATGCAGGCCCCATGTCTTCCAGTTTTTAGAAAAACACTGAAGACCTGGCTTTGCACACAAGCATTCGAAGAATAATTTACTATGGGTTTTGATATGGTCTGAATAAAGATTATGTACAAAGAATTTGGATGAATTGAACTACGTATTTTATATGTTAATTTGTATACTGTTTTTATGTGTTTCATATTGACTATTGATTGGTTTTGACTGAGGAGATGTTTTTGTAGTTTATTGTTAATTTTACCGGCATTGAATTTTTGTTGGAGTTGTAAGCCATCTTGAGTCCCTTATGGGTGAGAAAGGTGAAGTAGAAATGAAATAAAATGAAATAAATAAATAAAGGGGAGAGTGAGTAAATTCTGCCCTTCAATCAATGTGCAAGGCTTCCTTGTTCTTAAAAACAATCATGCAATTGACAATTGTTTAGAAGACAAGTATTTTCAAGCAGTTGGAGGAAAGCTTGAGGATAGCTGCTCAGTCCCAGAAAAAGCGATCATGCAATTAGAAGACAGAATAAGTTGTAGGACCTTGCTATCTTTAAAGGTCATTGAGAATGGTTTGAATACTTTTCATTGGCTTTTATTATTCTTTCTCATTTCAACAGTTTGACACACAAATCTATACTCTGCCACCAGTACTTGCAAATATCCAAGCAAGTAGTTAGTCTTGGCTGTTGATGTCAAGATCGTTCGAGTATTGATTATTAGTGGTATGAGTTTCCTCGTTGTGTGAGAAGAGTTTGGAACGAAAGACTAATGGTGTGGGTTCTAGAGTGGTCTCCAAAGGTTCAAGTGGAATAATGTGATAAAAATAATATGCCCTGCCAATGTTTGTAGCTGAGCTTTAATGCCAACAAATATTATATGTGGAATTAAAGGGGACACTCACCTTAAAAACACCTTGTATCTTTTTTACAGGAAAAGATCGGTGGCAAAGTGCGGCAAGGGCAAACCCAGACTAAAGAAGTGATACAAGAATACATTGCTGGTGCAGAAAGCATTGCTGAAGATCCAGCAACCAGAGATTATGTTGTCATGAGAGCCAGGATGATGGCAGCAAAGTTAGTTTATTATTGAAATTCTTAAACAAAATGTTTAAAAGTTTATAGACAAGATAAAATGCTCAAGTATAATAGCTCAAGTTAAAATGGTTCAGAACATTGTGTTACTTGAAATGTAAACTAATATAAAATTGATTGTTGTTTTCAGATTGCTTGGAGCACTCTGCTGTTGTATTTGTGATCAGAGTGTGAATGCCATCTCCCAAGAAATAAAGCCAGCTGAATCACTAGCTCAGCTATTGCTTTTCCACTTGAATTCCAAGTCAGCTTTGCAGAGGTTTAGTGTCGCATTAGTAATCTGTGAGTGGGCTGCCTTGCAGAAGGTAGGACACTTGCTGCTGTGAAAACGGCATTGTTTTAAAATGTAAATCTTTTTGCCATGGTTCAGCATGCTTAAGTTATAATTTTGCAACAGATTACATTTCTAATGTTGATAGGTGAAATGCAAAATTACTCATTTTCAGGTTGAAAATGTGTAATTTCTAGAACTTGAAGCACAGCAAGCAGGGACCAAAATATTTTCATACATGCAGAGAGTGAGGCTGTCTTTTTTAAAAAAAATATGGGAATATTAATTTCTATGTAGTATAAAACTGTGTTTTCAAAAATAATTCAGAATTCATGAGAGGGTGATAATACAAACATTTGCAATCTTTTTTGGGGACCCAGTTTACTGTCCCTTCCCATTATGGTCCAGGTAGCAACCAAGAATCATATTTTTTTTTTGTTTTATTAGTATTGTGTACTTATTGTTGATTACTGTGGGGTTTTTTTTTAATCATTGCGGTTACACATTGGTTTTTGCATTATTATTGCTAAACATTGGTTTTCCCGTGTTGAATTACAACACCTAACTTTAATTGTCGTTCTTAAAGAAACCTGGTGATCACTTAGTCACAATATGTAAAAATAGTCCACTTGGTGGCAATATTATGATTGAAATCTATTTTCATTTCTAGGAAAATAAAGTCGTGGCTCTTGCTGTCCAATCACGCTTGCTTAGTGTCCTCTCTGAGCATCTTTATTATGATGAAATTGCTGTCCCCTTCACCCGAATGCAAAATGAATGTAAACAACTCATCTCCTCATTTACTGATGCAAATATTGATGTTGCCAGCAGGGTAAACTGCAGTGTATTTACAATAGATCAAGCTAATGAACTGGTGAGTGAATCGGTGAAAAAGCTAGCCTCTCATGTTTAAGTGAGCAGTGTAAAAAGTAACCTGAACAGTTGCAGCAGCAAATGGATAAAAAGCAATATGTTGTATCACTGAAGGTGGTTCTAAAAATAATCTTGTTCATCTATACATATAGATATGTACTTAATTTATGTCACAAATGATGGAAAGCAGTGGTTCCTAGAGGAACCTTTGTCAGGAGATCCCTTTCCATTTTGGAGGGGTGTCTTAAGTGCTGTGGCCTTGATTCTTTGATGTATGTTGGACTGCAACTTCCATCATCCCATGCTAGTGGTCATGGATGATATTAGTTGTAATCTAAACCATCTCGGCCCAAAATTGATATCTTGAGTTAACCCTTTTAAGAGTGGGAAGACATCCCTTCTTCACTCCATCAGTGGCAGTTTCAGACAGGTTTTTATTTTGCACACAAGGTTGTGCTAATGTTCCACTTTGACAGCTAAGATTTTTATGCATCTCAGATTCTCCAGGTTTAGCAGTTACACTTTAAATGTAAGCATGTTAATTCTTCAAGAGGGAAGTTTGTAATTCAAGGAAAACAGACATGCTAGACCTTTAAAGGAGTGACACAATATGAAAGAATACAATACTGGGTTTTTTTTAAACTATAGCCACTTTCCAATACAAAATAAGCTCATTTGTAAATGAGCTTTTTGTAAAAATGGTGAAAACCATATTGTAAATAAGCACATTGATTTCAAATCTTTAGCTAGATATTCTTGTGGGTAATACAGTAGCAGTTTTGTCTTCATTTAATCATAAAAATAGAAAAGTCAGCAAGTTTTTATTGTCTTTTATAAGGTTAAGCATTACTGCTGCTGAAGAAAAAAAATAGGTATTGCAGCTGTTGTTCCCCTCTTCTTTATGTTGGGGTATGCTGCTCCTTCCTATATCCCATTTTGTGTTGTAGCTGGCGATGTAAATAGTCTAGTCCCTCCATTTATCTTATTAAAAGGGAAACATGTAGAATAATCAGTCCATTGCTTTCAATTTCAATGCTGTAAAGAAACAAAACAGTCTTTCCTAGGGTGATCATCAGCAAGGTCACATTTGAGTGAAACAGCAGCCAGGATCCAGTAATGTATTTTTACTGGATTATTTTGCTTCTACTGATGACATTGGGTGGGAGTGATCTTCCCTCCTATGGCTGTTGCACACCATAAAACAGTGGTTCTCAACCTGTTGGTCCCCAGAAATATTGGCCTTCAACTCCCAGAAATCCTGACAGCTGGTAAACTGGATGGGATTTCTGGAAGCTGTAGGTCAAAACACCTCGGGACCCACAGGTTGAAAACCTCTTCCCTAAAACATGTTACAGAAGACTAGGAAATCCTGTGGAACAGGTTCTTAGTGCTACAAAGGGTTACAATGGGAAGAAGAAAATCCCAATTATTCTGGCGGAAGAGCATACACATCCTGCAGAAGTACTTGGTTGGCTCCTAGCCACTGTGTTCCTCTTGGTGACAGACATATTTGCAGATGGAGCTTTTAAAAAATACTACCCCTGTTTTTTATTGTGGGTGCTGCTGTTGCAAAGATAACATCCTGCATGAGTAGGGTGTCGAACTACAGTGTGTTTGGATCATAGCATGACTTTACTAAATACGCATTTTAAAATCGTAATATATTATCCTTTATTAAACAGGTAACTACGTTAACCTGTTTATACTAACTGGTCTATTAAGATTGCTCTAGATCAGTGTTTCTCCTCCAGATGTTTTGGACTTCAGTTCCCTGAAATCCCAGCCAGCTTACCAACTGTTAGGAATTGTGGGAACTGAAGTCCAAAGCATCTCGAGGACACAGCTTGAGAAACTCTGCCCTAGACACTTGCCTTCCCTTGAATTTTGGTATTAAGAGGAGTCCACTCCAGGTTTATCTTCATAAATATTTATTTTTAAAATTCTGTTTAGTAAAGTTTAATTTGTCAAAAATTTATGCAAAGAACATGGGGTGAGGAATGTCTCTGACTATTGCTACTTCTAGAGATGGGAGCCAACATGGTGTTGAGTGGTTTGAGTGATGGACTATGACTCTGGAGCCCAGAGCTTAAATCCCTGCTCAGCCATGGAAATCTCTTTGTGACATTGGACAACTCACACTCTCTCAGCCTCAGATGATCTCAAAAGTAAGCCCCCTCTGAACAAATTCTGCCCTAAGTCAAAAACAACGTAAAGGGCATGTAACAGAAATAACAAATGTCTAGAAATACAACAAGACTTTACCTGTGTCAGAACATTATGGAAGGGTATCAATTTATATAGCAATATGTTTCATTGTTTTTAAATACTTTAGTGTCCTTTTTCACATGGAGTAATTGGGATGTTTTTGTTTTTGACTAATTTTTCTTAGGTCAGCACTATCTTCAGTGAAGTCACATCCCCTCTTAATCTGAATCCTCCAATTTTACAGCAGCTTGAAAGCAAACGACAGCAAATCCAAATGACTGTTACTGAAACAAACCAGGAATGGCAAACGTTACACTTGAGAGTACATACTTTTACTGCTTGTGCCGTTGTCAATCTGGAACAGCTTCCAGATAAATTAAATCCAGTCATAAAGCCACTGATGGAGGCAGTGAAGAAAGAAGAAAACATATTGGTTCAAAATTATGCTGCTTTGTGCATAGCAAAGCTACTTCAGCAGTGCACAACACGGTCTCCATGTCCTAACTCTAAGATCATAAAAAATCTTTGTAATTCACTCTGTGTGGATCCTCATCTTACCCCTTTAGCATCATGCCCTGCACAACCCTTGAGTAGCCATGAAAATTCAAAAGGTGAGTCAACAATAAGTAATTAAAATGGCAGGGAATGCCAGCCAACTGTACCTTAAACAGGATTAGATGGTGTACCTAATTCTCAGAGACCACTGCACTAATAGAACCAAGAGTGAATCAGCTAGCTCCCAAAAGTGGAATTTGTATGATCAACACTTGACAAACTGTCCCATTTTTTGTAGTTAACTATGAAGTTGGTATTGTTCCCTAATGATCCTTTATGAGTTTTTGTTTGGGAATCTGAAGAATCTCTAGATTCTTAGAATAAAATTATATTGCAGGAGGTCCTAAAATGTTTTCAATCCGAGTGCTCTCTATTGATTACAAAATACAGTTGTATTTGTAGTATTTTCAAAGGGTGATTTTTAATGAGAAACATTTTAAATGAGTAATGGTTTCATTGCTACACTTTCTGTGTTTTGAGTTTCCAAAGGGAGTAGGATACATTTGGATATCAGCTTTCTTGTGCACAAATGCTTATTTGGGTGTTAACTTTCTCTAGGACAGTGGTTCTCAACCTGTGAGTCCCCAGATGTTTTGTCCTTCAACTCCCAGAAATCCTAACAGCTGTTAAATTGGCTTGGTATTTCTGGGAATTGTAGACCAAAACACCTGGGGACCCACAGGTTGAGAACCACAGCTCTAGGAACTCACTCATAAGAGTAGTTTGAGGGCTTTAAGGTATCTTCCCCGACTCTTACAGGTGTGGGGAGGGAGAGAAAAAATTAGCTTAGATACAGTACTTAAAGATGAATATGTCTATGAAATACCAGGATGGATCTTCGATCATCTGGAGAGGCCCTGCTCTCACTCTCGCTCCCACCTCCTTCGCAGGTGCGATTGGTGGGGAGAAGGGAGAAGGCCTTCTCTATGGTGGCCTCCCGACTCTGGAACCCACTCCCCAAGGATATCAGACAAGCCCCCACACTGGCAGTCTTTAGGAGGAGCCTGAAAACGTGGCTGTTCCAGTGTGCCTTCCCTGAATAAAGGAAACAATCCCCTGCAAAATATCCTGAGAAGCACTTTAATTACCCGTTGGATTGCTCTCCTTACATTTCATTTAAAACCCTCCTACTAGATACATCCTACCTCTGTTCATGCCCAGCGTTCATTTTCAAAATTTTAACTATTACATCTGGCCCAGCCATAGGTTTTAAAATCTTTATGTGTTATTGTCTATATATGAGTTATATTAATTGTATTGTTTATTGCTTGTTGTTTTTACTGATGAGTTGTTGGGCTTGGCCTCATGTAAGCCATTCTGAGTCCCTTGGGGAGATGGTGGCGGGGTATAAATAAAGTTATTATTATTATTATTAGTATTATTATTATTATTATCCTATATCTAATGACAATGCTTTATTAATTCACTGTCCCCCATGCTTATAGTAATAATGGAGGGCTTGTGTGAAACAGATATCACTTCCAAGGCTGATTCCAGGAAAGAGTGTGGAAATGACCTCCAAAATTTATCCTTACTAATCTAATTTTTACCAAATAATAATTGATACCTGTTTTTTATTGTCCTCACTAGTATGCCACTTTGTTTAGTAGCTTCAGTTAAATCCACTTGATAGTTCTTATTACAATAGATTCCCAAATTAGTTTTGGAATGCTTGGTGGATATTTACATAAATACTATTGATCCACTATTTCTTATAGGAAGCAGCAGCTGGATTTAGGCCTTTGCATTTTGTAGTGATTGTTCTAGCAACCATGCTTCTTTTTAGATTTGATCTTCTAGGTTTATTTGTGAATTGATATATCAGACTCGGTATTTTCTTTCCGTTTCTCATTCCAAATTCTTATAGGAAAGCCTCTGTTAATAGGTTACCATGTTGATTCTATCAGTGCAGTGGTCTCGTAATTTTTTATTCAACTATTATATATGAAAATGTTTCCAATTATAATTATTCTTTTTAGGATCAAATTCCGAAAGAGATGGCATGCACCATACAGTCACCAAGCATAAGGGTATAATCACACTGTACAGGCACCAGAAAGCTGCATTTGCCATCACAAGCCGACGAGGTCCGACGCCAAAGGCTGCAAAAGCTCAAATAGGAGATCTTCCTACAAGTAGTAGTGGAAACATAACTACAGAGCTTGATGAAGTGAGTACATATCTTAATTTGCAATTGTGCTAATACTGTTATGTGGTATCCTGCACATAATCTAAAGCAATGTTTCTCAACCTTCCTATTCCTGCGGCTCCTTAATACAGTTCCTCATCTTGTGGTGTCCCTCAATCATAAAGTTGTTTTCGTTGCTACTTCATAACTGTAATTTAGCTACTTTATGAATTGTAATGATATGCGGATGTATTTTCATTCACTGGACCAAATTTGGCACAAATACCCAATATACCCAAATTTGAATACTGATGGGGTTGGGGGGGATTGATTTTGTCATTTGGGAGTTGTAGTTGCAGGGATTTATAGTTAATCTACAATCAAGGAGCATTCTGAACTCTAATAACTATGGAATTGAATCAAACTTGGCACACAGAACTCCCATGACCAACCAAAAATACTGGAAGGGTTTGGTGGGCATTGACCATGAGTTTTGGAGTTGTAGTTCACCTACATCCAGAGAGCACTGTGGACTCAAACAATGATGGATCTGGACCAAACTTAGCACAAATCCCCAATATGCCCAGGTGTGAACCCTGGTGGAGTTTGGGGAAAATAGACCTTGACATTTGGAAGTTGCTGGGATTTATAGTTCACCTACAGTCAGAGCATTCTGAACCACACCAACAAGAGAATTGGAACAAACTTCCCACACAGAACACCCATGCCTTGAAGGGACTCGCACACTCTCCCTCATCCACACATACGCACCATGCTACCATGCGCCAAGCATGCCTGCTTCCCCCCCCCCACTTAGAGTCTCAGAAACAGCTCTCCCCTTGGCTGAGAGGCTGGCTGAGAGGCCGGCCAATCACAGCGGAGGAGGGCTTTTGGTGGGTGGATTCGCCATCTGTTTCCAAAAAGGAAAAGAACAGGCAGAGAGATCTTCAGCCTTCTCTGCCAAAGGGGTTTCTAAGACAATCAGAAATATTTTTTTTCCTATGGCCTTTGGAGACCCTTCTAAAAACCCCTCACGACCCCCCAGGGGTCCCGACTCTCAGGTTGAGAAACACTGGAGGATTTTTATGTTTTTTTTTAATGGCTGGGAGCATAGTTCTTTTCCCTTACACATAACTTCATAACCTCTCTTCTTCTCTTTTTTTCTATCTCTTTCAAAGGATAGGTTTCTGTGCAAGCTTAGCCTAGCTTCAATTCTCTTAGTTAATTTTATTTTAGTATCTCAGTATTGAAATGAAAAAAAAGTTACACAAAAATATTATATATGTTTCTGTGGATAACTTCTGCTTGAAAGATCTTATTTTAAGATAGGATTTGAGAAATGGATGAGGGGTATGTAGGGAGAATAATAATGCTGACAACAGATAAGGCACTGCTAATATAATAAATGTGATGTAGTGGTTTGAGCACCAGGGCTCAAATCCCTACTCAGCCATGAAACCCACTGGATGACCCTGGGCAAGTCACACTCTTGCTTTTATTCTGTGGCAGAAGCAAAAAAAAAAAAGGTTTTACAGTCATCCCTCAACTTTTGAGCAGGTTACGGTGCAGATTTGGAAAATTCTAGAGCTGCATTTTGATATTCCCAGGCCTTCATGCATTTTTACCAAAACCCTGTTCCTTTTAGTCTATCACCATGGCAGATTAATTAGGAAATATGAGTTTGATTCTTTAGCTACCTATATATTATGTGAGTTGTAATGGACTGAGAACTAAGCGAAAAATAAATTAAACCCAACTCTCTCATTCAATTTTCAGGCTCAGAAAACGTATGTAGTACAGAGGAGAGGTGCAGAATTTGCTTTATCCACTATTGCTAAACATTTTGGTGCTGAAATGGCAGTGGGTTTGCCACATCTCTGGGATGCTATGGTTGGTTCCTTAAGGAACAATATTGACATCAGCAACTTCGGTATGTATACATGCTATGTGTTGTAAGGATGTGTGAGTATAATAAAGGTTTAATTTTAACATTTTCTTGATAATGGGATATTTCTTGTAATAGATCGAAAGGTTCTATTGGAAAAAGGAGATGGCCCAGCCCAGGAGTTAGTGAATTCTCTACAGGTTTTTGAAACAACTGCAGCATCTATGGATGTTCAGCTTCACCCTTTGGTAAATAAATTAATTGCATATAATTTTCAAAATAAGTTTTTATTACGGACATGGATGTTTAAAATGCATAGCATTGGTGTTGATGTCATAAAAACACATTTACTTTTTCCATGATTCCTAGAATATAAGAAATGTTTAGAATAGCAGTTACAAAAGTATTGTCGAAGGCTTTCATGGCTGGAATCACTGGGTTGTAGGTTTTTTGGGCTTTATGGCCATGTTCTAGAAGCATTTTCTCCTGACGTTTCACCAGCATCTATGGCAAGCACCCTCAGAGGTTGTGACCTCACAACCTCTGAGGATGCTTGCCATAGATGCAGGCGAAACGTCAGGAGAGAATGCTTCTAGAACATGGCCATATAGTCCAAAAAATCTAAAACAACCCAGTTACAAAAGTGTTTGTTAGCTTGTGTTTAGTTGACAATATTATCATTTTTAAGCTGCCATGAGTCCTAGTTCTGGGGAAAGGGCAAAAAGTAAACAAATAGTATAGTAATACTATTAGTGTAGCGTTATTTACAATTACTGAAAAGGGTTGTCGAAGGCTTACATGGCCGGAACTAGGCAAGTGAAGTTTATATATCTGTGGTTGTGGGGAAAAACACAACCTACAAACTATCTGCAGACCCACTAAGAAAATCCAACAAATACTACATTCAGCAAAGGACAAGAGGGAACCTCTCACCTCTGCAGGAGTCTACCATATATCTTGCAGCTGTGGACAAGTCTGCATAGGGACCACCAAACACAGTATTGCCCAAACACGAATCAAGACTGTGAAAGGCACTGCAGACTAACTCAACCAGAGAAATGAGTCATAGCAGAGCACCTGATGAACCAACCTGGACACAGCATATTATTTGAGAACACAGAACTCTTAACAACTACCATGTCAGACTACACAGAGAAACCATTGAAATCCACAAGCATGTTGACAATTTCAACAGAAAGGAAAAAACCATGAAAATAAACAAAATCTGGCTACCAGTATTAAAAAAAACCCTTCAAAATCAGGACAATAAATAAAGATCAACACTAAAAAAAAAAAAACAGGAGAATTCGAGACAAGAATCAATCAGGGCCAGCTAACACCTCCTAACAAGATTCTCCCAGGTAGCAACCAGACAGGTTTTGAAGCTGCAAGGCCATTAAATGCTAACCAAGGTGGTCAGTTGCAACATTCACACTTGTCTCCAGCAGACAAGAATTGTTTCTTCCCACCCTGGACATTCCACAGATATGTAAACCTCACTTGCCTAGTTTCCAACAAACCTCACAACCTCTGAGGATGCCTGCCATAGATGTGGGCAAAATGTCAGGAAAGAATCTCTGGAACATGGCCATACAGCTTGGAAAACTCACAGAAACCCAATTATTGAAAGGGTGAAGGTTCTTAGCAAACGTTCCCAGCTGTTTTCTGAAGCTGTTGTTAGTCTTATTTTGATTAGACAAGAACTGAAAGTTCATTTGAATGAACCTCTTAAATTATTACCATACATTATCAAACATTTAAAAATAAGAGCCAAAACCCCCAAGGTTACATGCTGTAACATGTAATATATTCCTCTTTTCATCTGTATTGCAATATGCATACTTGCTTTACAAATACATCTCTTGTATTTCTTCAGTCTGTATTTAGGAGGCTTGATATCTCGTGTGTTTAAAACTATTGCTTGAAATGTTGCAGATTCCTGTGTTTTACTGAAATAGAATAAACTCTTAAATAGCATTGAGTATGTTAACAATTACTGGTATTTTTTCCCTTTTTGCAGTTGATACAGCATTTGCCTTATCTTTCTATGTGCCTTCAACATCCTAATACAGCAGTGAGACACATGGCTGCTCGCTGCGTAGGTGTAATGAGCAAAATAGCTACCATAGAAACCATTCACATTTTCCTGGAAAAGGTTCTTCCTTGGCTGGGAGCGATAGATGACAGTACCAAGCAAGAGGGTGCAATCGAAGCTCTTGCCTGTATCCTTTAACGATTCTAATTGCTTGTGTGTTTGAACTACTAAAATATTTTCCAAATGTATGATTTTGTGGGATTATTTCTTACACTTTATTCATACTGATAATTTGTACTTCTCAAACAATGCATTGGCTATTCTTTGCTTCTGAATAGCAGAGTATATGTGATCATTTGCTATGTAGGCTCTTAGCAGAAAGGTCACTTTGTAGGAAATACATATGAATTGTTTGAGTCACAGTCTACTGATCCTCACCCAGTCCAGAATTCCATCTGTTGACATTGGACAATGTTTTCCTGTAACATTTTTATAAAGCCTATACCCTGTAATTTGGCTGTATCCAGTACCTTTGATACTGGACATGAAAAGCTTTTTCCTACCCTGATGAACACTGGGAACATTTGTTCTTTAATTTCCTGTTTAACCATGTGTGAAGATTTCTATTACAAAATGATTGAAATACCTTTTATAACTGCTTGGGAAGAAAACATTTATCCTTACGTGGTTTGTGTGAAAGGATTTTCTACTTTCTTCTGAAAATTTACTGATAGCCATAGTAAATCCATTTGGCCAAACTTGTAATATGGATATCCATTGATCCTTATGAGCCCCAACCCTTTGTATAGGCGAAGCCTTTTATGGCTGGAACCACTGGGTTGCTGTAAGTTTTTCAGGCTGTATAGCCATATTCTAGAAACATTATCTTCTGACGTTTCACCTGCATCAGTGGCAGGCATCCTTAGAGATTGTGAGGTCCCACAACCTCTGAAGATGCCTGCCATAGGTGCAGGCAAAACATCAGGAGAGAATGCTTCTGGAACATGACCATACAGCCCGAAAAACCTACAGCAACCCCATTCCTTTGTTCTGGCAAGAAGCTGAACATAAGAGCAATAAACATAGAGTTGTACCATAGCTTTCTCTTAGGAATTGAAATAGGTTTATTAGACTGAAATGTGACAATAAGCCAAAGGCTAAAAGGAAATTTAAAGGTAAAAGAGTGAGTCCTGTTGATATCACATAGCAAAACCTAACAATTTAACTTCCTTGATGTTACCTACACCCATCTATACACTGTATTTATTCTATAGAACAATTTTTCTGAGCTTAAAAAACAAAACAAAAACAGCTGTATTGTCCTGTTGCAATTGACCACCTTGATTAGCATTTAATGGCCTTGCAGCCTCAAAGCTTGGCTGGTTGCTGGCTAGGGGATCCTTTGTTGGGAGGTGTTAGTTGGCCCTGGTTGATTCTTGCCTGGAATTCCCCTGTTTTTTTTAGTGTTTTTACCCTACATCAAGGGTACCACTGACCGCATAGGGAAGCTAATGAAGAAACACAACCTACAAACTCTCTACAGACCCACTAAAAAAATAGCGAATGCTACTTTCAGCAAAGGACAAGAAGGATCCTATCACCTCTGCAGGAGTCTACCATATACCATGCAGCTGTAGACAAGTCTACATAGGGACTACCAAACGCAGCACCCAAACCCAAATCAAGGAACATGAAAGGCACTGCAGACCCATTCAGTCTGAGAAGTCAGTCATAGCAAAGCACCTGATGAGCCAATCTGGACACAGCATATTATTTGAGAACACAGAAATGCATTACTCTTCACAAGTACCATGTCAGACTACACAGAGAAGCCATTGAAATCCACAAGCATGTGAACAGTTTCAACAGAAAGGAGTAAAGCATGGAAATGAACCAAATCTGGCTCCCAGTATTAAAAAAACTCTAAAATCACAGTAAATAAATAGCAATACTAAAAAAAAACAGGAGAATTCCAGACGAGAATAAATCAGGGCCAGTTAACACCTCCCAACAAAGGACTCCCCCAGGCAGCAATCTGTCAGGCTTTGAAGCTGTAAGGCCATTAAATGCTAATCAAGGTGGCCAATTGCAGCATTCACACTTGCCTCAAAACAGACAAGAGTTCTTTCTCCCACCCTGGACATTATTCAACAAATATATAAACCTCACTTGCCTAGTTTCCAACAGACCTCACAACCTCTGAGGATGTGGGCGAAACGTCAGGAGAGACTGCTTCTGGAACATTGCCATACAGACCGGAAAACTCACAGCAGCCCATGGTTTATATCCAAAGATGCCACTGTACACACAGAATTCATGTACACAAGTGGTGAGGGGGTAGCTCTTATTTTTCTTCAAATTGTCTCAGATTGTAGTCTTCCTAGATGCATTCAGGTCCTCAGGTTCCATTTTTCATAAGATGCTGCTGCAAAGTGAAGGCAGGAAGGCCATGTTTTATAATGTGGTTTCTGTTCACAGAAATTAAGGATACAAGCCTATATATATAGTGTGAACCCTGTTTCTGAACTTACTGTGGAAACAAAATCACAAATTATAGCAAATCCTAATAAAAGGAACAGTTTCTTCCAGAAGTTAACATAGTCAAATTTATATAAAAGATACCTCTCTAGAAATTTCCAGGGTCCTCCAGGCAGCTCTGTGTTAACTTCCAATAGATTCATGCCACAGAATGACCTGGTTAACCTAGAAAATTCCTAGATAGAATATAGTTTGTTTTAGTTGGTAAGGTGAAATCAGGGGTTCTGGTACCACTGATATGGGGCTTGTACTGTAACCCCTCTTTAGAGGCTACAAGCAAAAGTAAGCTTGAATTCTTACTGATGTAGAAATGGCCCTGAAACTACTAAGTTCCTTAATTCCGAATTCAGGTGTAATGGAGCAACTAGATGTTGGAATTATTCCATATATAGTTCTTCTTGTAGTCCCAGTTCTGGGCAGAATGAGTGATCAGACCGACAGTGTACGTTTCATGGCCACTCAGTGTTTTGCAACATTGATTAGACTAATGCCTCTTGAGGTAAGTAAAAATCTTACTTTTTCTATTTGTTTTGTGCTTGCTTATTTATTTTGTGTCAAAAGCATTGCATAAATAGGTAAGTCTAAAACAGATAAAACAAAAAGCTGTTAGATAGTTTTAGACCAAAAACGGGCAACAGCAATTGCATTGTGTGTTTGCTTATACATACATTGCCCACACCGTATTCTCTAAATTCTAGGTGCACTCGAACCATGAAGATTGTGATTACATGGACTGGGAAATCTACTGTGTTTGGTAGTCAAGCAGCACCTGTCTTGTCATTTTCTCTAAGAATTACATTTCCTCAGGGCTTGCCCCAGAGAAAATTCCCAAAAGAACTAGACAAAGGATATGCTCAATTCTTGGTGCAGTACCTCCTGTGCAACTCACCTTCCTCCTATCTGCACAGAGCAGATGTCAATTCCTGGATTCCTAGTACCAGAGTAAAATTTGGTCTCATCAAGAGAGTGAAGATGAAGGGAAGGGATGAGCACTTTTTAGGATAATCCTTTGTGTACCTTTAAGAATTCATAATCAGAGGAACAAGAGAACTGTGAAATGTATATAGTTGTGTACAAGGATCGTTGTGTGAACAATTCATACTTCAAATGGATAAAGTATTATGGGATAGAGTGGATTCTGAGGCAGGCACTTTTTGCAGGCAGTATCTTTCATTGAGTATTCACTGATTAAGTTTAATACTATAATAGTCTTTGAGAGTAGGTTGTCTATGAACCGCATGCTACCCTTAGGGGCCACATGTGAGACAATGAATAATATATAGCTGGATACATTTTATGGAACAGGAAAATAAAATGTGTGGCAGGAAATAGTATTTTGTGCACTTTGCAGTATGGGCTTTAAATAGGACCAAAGTTATTTCTTAGACAAGAAAAAGAGAAATCTAAAAATATTTTACAATCTCCTATTAATAGTATTTTATTGGAATCGACCCTCTGATTGGTCCATTTCCAATCAAGAAGATACATGAACAAAGTTCTAACTGGGTCAAACAGTTCCTGCAGAGATTGTCATCACCTTCCTGCAGTCTTTTTACACCACAACTACAGCATTCATTGATACCTGGAAAGTGTAATGTGGAAACAAGAGATGGTGCTGGGTAGATCAGGGAAAAGTACTTCCTTGGTACCAGTGCCTGTTGTCACCTTATGTAAGTGAGAGCCTATAGTAAGACTTCAGGTGATACACATGTATCCTCAGACCACCCAGCCAACATCGCATGTTACTCTTCAGGACATAATGGTTGCTTATAAATTTAAATACAGCCAACCCTGCATATTTATGGATTCAACCAGCCACTATTTGAAAATATTCCCACCAATATCCATAGAGAGTTCTGGAACCAGTCACTAGCATATACCAAGCGTCCATTATATTATATCTTTTTATCAATGGTAACAAATAATAAAAGCAGGGACTCAGATGGGAGTATCAGTGTCATTTCATCCATTAGGTTTTCACTGTGAAGCTTGTAAGCAAGGTTTATCATCAATAAATGATTGCTCTTAATGATTAACGAGAAACTCTACCTGAGACCTTCTTTGGGGAGATGCAATTATTGTCAATTTTTTGGAGTTGAAGTTCTTAAATTACACAGAATGCTTTGTGTAAATTGCTTATTGTGTTCACAAAAGCTTAGTAGGACAAACTTGTGATTGAAGAGTTAACCTGACCTTGGGGGCAGATTGCAGCAATCTGCTTTTGGACAGAAACAAGACTTCTTTTGCTGAGCCTATATTGCATACCTTTTAATTTCCCATCATGATTTAATTTTTATTGTAAACTACCTAAACTCTTTGAGTATAGGGTGAGGTATAAATATTTTATTTAAATAAGCTTCTGGTGATCACTTGTAAAATCTTAACAGCCTAGGACCTAAATATTTATTTCTTGGAGAGTCTTGCTTTTCATGAAGATTTGCCAATTGGCACCTGAAGTCCTTTAGAGATAAGACATTTTTCAACAGTTTAGTGATATTTTTCTCAAAGTTAAGCTCATAACAACTGGAAACCAAGTACGGATTTTTAGAATGTGACTAAACTTATTGTGATGTAATAATAATAATTTGATAATGGGATCAAGCGTTCACAGAATAGTTGTTTTACTGGGAAGACAAGATTTTATTGGACTGTACTTGGACTGTTTTGGACGACGATTTTAATATGGCGATTTTAATCAGGCGAACTAGTTCTAGTGTATATTTTTAACTACTTTAATGTATATGGACATATTTATTATGTGTTTTATATCATGTTTGGAATTGAATTGTTGCCTGTTTGGAAGCCTTTCTGAGTCCCTCCTCAGAAGTTGAGAAGGACGGGGAATAAATGCTTTAAATAAACAAACAAACAAACAAACAAACAAACAAATAAAAGCAAATGGCAGTAATTATTAAAATTTATTTTACTTCTAATAAACATTTCCCCGGTATACTTTTTTTTCCTCTGAAAGATTTAAGATTCTCCCAGTAGTACCAATTTGTGTTAGAAATCAGCATGATAAATTTTATCAGCTGCTAAAATGTAGCTTTTTATAGCCTTCACAAATTAGATTTCAGTTTTATCTGAACTGACCACTCATAAATACATTCTATTATATAGTGTTGGCTTTATTTGTGGCCATGCTCTTATTTCTCTTTTGCTCATTTGCTAATATTCAAATGATTGCCAAGACTAACATGAAATTTGACACTGAGTGATCAGGAAACCATCATTGGATACCAGGAAAGATAATAATATACAAAGAAGCTAGTGTTGTAAAGAAGATTAACAAGTCATTTTTATTCTAATATATCCCCACTGTTGAAAACTACTCTGCCTTAAAATAACATAGGCTTGAAACTGATAGTATGAATGTGTGTAACACAAAGCTTTGTTAGGTGTTGCAGTTTTACTTTAACATAAAATTTACATGGTAAAGAAATGGGAGAACATTAGTAGTAGTCCGGCTGAGAAAATAGTCCATGAAAACACTTTTCTACGTACAGTGGATTCTTCCATTTGGTGGCAAGTTATTTTTTGCTCCAGAGGAACCATTAGTGTGAGATATAACAATTACTTGCATATATATAACAAGGCTCTGCTTTATATATTGTAAAAACTTAGCTGACCTAATAAAGTTAATAGCTTTTTCCAGCTATGTGATTTTCAGTATATTTTTATTGTAAGGTTTATGTTGTTGGGTTTGATATCAAACCTAATATATAGGAATTTTACAAACTTTCAGGAAATCCTGAACTTACTCTTGATTTATTTTTTTAGGCTGGTATTCCAGACCCACCTGAAATGTCTGAAGATTTAGTCAAAATTAAAGCCAAGGAGCGCCATTTTCTGGAACAATTATTAGATGGGAAAAAACTAGAAAACTACAAAATTCCAGTACCAATTAAAGCAGAACTCAGAAAATATCAGCAGGTATGTTCTTACAGGAAGTTATTGATTCTTCATCATGGTCTCTGTGTATTTACAAATGTGGTGCACATTTATGCAAGTGGATCTTCAGAAATATCTAGGTGGCTGAGATTTTGTCCAGAGCCCTACTCCTCCCTTTTAAAAGTACATCAAAAACAGTTCCTTTTTTGTAACTCAGGAATGAGAGCGATGCAGACCTCCAGATGTTGTTGAATAGAACTGCCAATGTTCCTTACAATCTTGGCAACAGCTGCTAGGAACGATATTCAACAACACCTGGAAGAATGCCCAACCCTGCTGTAACTGATGCTCTTCAAACAGCCATCTGTACACACAACTCACCTGTCTCCCACTTAGTGGCATATTAATATTTACTATCTTTTACCTCAATGTCAACTGATGTGCATATTTGGAGAAGGGACAGGTACAGCTAGAATCTCAACTCTTGCTGGTTCCAAATGTAGGTGCAAGTTCCGGAGAAGTTTTAGATATTCTAAGGATAAGAGTCTGGACAGGGAGAAACATTTATGTGTAAAAGCACCGACATTTACTCAAAGAACATTAGATATAAGTATGAAGCTTGCTTCTTGCTAGACAAATATGATTTTCTTGGCAAATTTGTTACGATATAGTGTTAACATTGAGTGTCCCTCTCAAGCAGAAGGATAATTGAGTTTAGGTCCAGTGTGATTTCTCCCTCTTAGGAGTGAGAGAGGTGTTGGGGCCAAGACGTTTTGGGAATCAGTATGTGATATGAGTTATTTTTGAGGTATTACTCCATTTGTGTAACTTAGTCCCAAGGGAAGTAGGCTTGATGCCTTCTGCTTGCTTTTAGATTATTATTTATTTCATATTCTTCTATCCCACCCTTCTGCCCACAAGGGGGACGCAGCGCGGCGAGAAGCTTCAAAATTATTACTCATTGGCCTGGAGCCCCCAGTGGCACAGTGGGCTAAATCCTTATGCTGGCAGGATTGCTGACCAAAAGGTCGGCAGCTCGAATCTGGAGAGCGGGGTGAGCTTCTGTCTGTCAGCTCCAGCTTTTCATGTGGGGACATGAGAAGAAGCCTCCCAAAGGATGGCAAAACACCCGTGCATCCCCTGGGCAACAGCCTTGCAGATGGCCAATCCTCTCACACCAGAAGCAATTTGCAGTTTCTCAAGTTGCTCCTGACATAAAAAAGCCATTGGCCTTTATTATACATTTTAGTTTTGCTTGTTGTTGGAATTTCTTTGCTTCATCTGGATAGTGATTGCAATTGTAACATATTTAAATACTGTGATCTGTTTTGAACTTCCTTAAAGATGAAAAGAAGTACATGAGGTAATGAATAAATACCGTAAATAAGAAAAAATTTAAATGTGCATGCCTTGTCCTCTGCTCTTAGGATTTCTTTTTCATTTCTCCTTTATAGGAAGGTGTGAATTGGTTGGCTTTTCTTAACAAATACAAGCTTCATGGCATCCTCTGTGATGACATGGGGTTAGGAAAAACCCTGCAATCCATCTGTATTCTTGCTGGAGATCATTGTCACAGGTAGCCATAACAATTACACCAAATGAGCTGTCTTCATATTGTAATAGTATCCTGTAATATTGTGGTGTGACACTTCTTATAATGTTCCTCAAAGGGCCCAAGAATATGCAAGAACTAAGATTGCTGATAGTGTTCCTCTCCCGTCCTTGGTGGTGTGTCCTCCTACACTCACAGGTCACTGGGTGGATGAAGTGGGGAAATTTTGTTCCAAAGAGTATTTGAACCCATTGCACTACACTGGTCCTCCCACAGAAAGGGCAAGGTAAGCCCATAATGTAGGACTCTGTTCTTATAGCTTTGTGCACATTTTAATTTCTTTCTTTGTGGATTATTTAGAAAGCATTGGAATTATTTATAAACTTAATTTATCTATACTTTGTCCTCTAAAGGCTGCAGCACCATGTGAAAAGGCACAATTTAATTGTCGCTTCCTATGATGTTGTGAGAAATGACATTGATTTCTTCAGGTATGAACTATTATTCAGATCCTTCTTTTTTTTCTTTGTCTTTGATAATACATTGTTTATTGTGCAATAAAATGTATATCTAGGTTACACCCAAACATTGACTGAACAAGATAGCTATGTTTCTAGTGACCTCTTGCATAACAGCAAGCTAATAAATAAATGTTATGCACCATTTAGTTTGGTATAAAATCATTCAACATGTGCAAAACATAACTTCAGTCTTTTTCAGCTATATATCAATACCATCTCACAAAGCCCAGATGTATTTATTTCGTGTCAAAAGCATTGCATAAATAAACAAGTATAAAACTGATAAAATAGAGCATAAGCAACTAAATAATTTTAGACCAAAAACATGCAACAGCAACCTCATTGTCTGTAGCTTTAAATAGTTCTTCCTCTGTGCATGAGGCAGGGCATTGTGGGCAGCATACAGATGCAGAGTTGTTTGTTCTGCTCCACAGTCGCACAAGATGGAGGATTTTTCTAGGTAGTGCCATTTTGCCAGGTTGTCTTTTGATCTGCCCACTCCACTGCTGAGTTTGTTCACGGACTTCCAAGTTGCCCATTCTTGGTTTGCCCCTGGAGGAAGACCTTCATGCGGGCCATCCATTTGGGATCTCCTGGTTTAGCTGCTCAGATGGATCCTCTTGCTGTTGCTGGGGGGAACATTAAGAGAAGTTGTGGTTCTCATTAAGCTTTTCCTTGATTTGAGTCTACTGGGAGGAGGCTGATAGCCATGCAGTGGATGGCTTTCACAGTGTTCAACGTTATTTCTAATATAATAATAACAACAACAACAACAACAACAACAACTTTATGCTTATATCCTGCCTCCATATCCCCAAAGGGACTTGGGGTGGCTTACCTGGGGCCAAGCCCAACAATACAGTTAAAACATATTAAAATGCATAACAAAAAAATTAATAACAAAAAACAAGATAAAATGAGATAAAAACAACAAAATTAAGCAATATATAAAACGGACATCAGAGCCAACAACTCTCACAGATAACAGCAACTTTCCATCGCACATCCGGGGGGGGGGGGGGGGGAGTGCCAGCTAACTTATAGAGTCTATCAACAGATATAGGTTTGAGACATTTTGTGATTATTCTACTTGTTTTGTTCAGTTCTATATTTCCCTTTGCATGGGCAGACTTGTGCCAAAATAATGAAAACAAAGCCAAGATGGCAACATTGGGATTGTTTTACCATAATGCTCACATGGGGGATTATTTTGGTTTTTAAAAAATCATATTTTAATTGACTATTTCCATATTTTTCCCCACACTTCCCATTGTAATACTAATAAGTTTATATATGTTTTTTTCTTCATTTTAATTATTGTATTGTTTTAAAGTTTTTTTGCTCTACAAATAAGATATGTGCAGTGTGCATAGGAATTCATTCATGCTTTTTTCACATTATAATCCGGCCCTCCAACAGTCTGAGGGACTGTGACCTGGCCCTCTGTTTAAAAAGTTTGAGGACCCCTGATCTAGTATGTCTCTGATGAAGAGGGAAGGGTTGAGGGGATGGAGGGAACGACATTGTACAAAATTATAGTTGTTACTTTCTGTCCTTAATATTTTATATACTGAAGAATGATCAGTGTTGATAACTTGTATTTTCTTTCCTAGAAATATTAAGTTTAACTATTGTATTCTTGATGAAGGCCACGTTATCAAAAATGGAAAAACAAAACTGTCCAAAGCAATAAAGCAGTTAACTGCCAATTACAGGATAATACTCTCTGGGACACCAATTCAGGTATTCTGCGTCTTCCTTCTTTTTCAGGGATTAGAGAAAGCAATAGAATGTTTCTTAGACTATTGTGAAAGTAACTGACCAGATGCATTGGTGGAAGAATGAGATCATAGATCCTTATCACAAGCATCTGTTTTTCCATGCCTACTACATAGCCATATACATGCACATCTGATTTGAAAAATCCCATATATAACTTAATTGCACAGTTTTAATTGAGGTGCGTTAGAATTTTCACAAGTAAGACTGAACGGCATAAAAGGCCCATGCCTTTTATGCCATTCATCTAGTGAATCTTGAGATGGGAGGGGGAGGTCATGATGAGATGGACCCGTGATGTTGTCATCTTTGTTAAGTACTAGCTATTGTAATTCTCTGATTTTATCATTTTTTTTCTCCAACAAATGTTTCTCCTCTATTCAGAACAACGTTTTAGAATTGTGGTCGCTGTTTGACTTCCTTATGCCAGGATTTTTGGGTACAGAGCGCCAGTTTGCAGCTCGCTATGGCAAGCCTATATTAGCTAGCAGAGACGCTCGGAGCTCCAGTCGAGAACAAGAAGCAGGTGAGAAGGAAGCTCCTATTTCAGCTTGAAGTGCTGTTGCAGCTGGAGGAAATGAATGTGTGGTCTGTGGATCGCCAGTGATCTGCAAGAACGAAAATATGTCCCGCGGCCTCACCATTACTACACTGTTGCCTCAAAACCACACGGCAATAAGAGCAACTGGTCTTGCGAAACCGTCTTACAGTGCAGAGGCAACGGGGGTGTCGGGAAGGGAGAGGCTGACTACCACAAAAGATTACTACTACCACATCAGCTCTAGAAAATATGGTTTTCTGTGGGCAAGCAGATGGAGATTACTGGATGGCTTATGTTCTGTATCAGAAACTAAAGCTGATGTGGTCTATCCAATGCAAATTTTCTGAATCAGCACCCCAAATAACCAAACTGAATCTAAAGTTGACCAAAAACTGATGCGTAACCTTTTTGATACTAATGTTGGAGAGTGGTCCCTGGTCAAAAAAGTGTTGGGAACTACTGATTTAAGGTGTTTACTAATACATTAATAAGATTTTCTTATGCACATTTTTAGGCGTTCTTGCAATGGAAGCTCTGCATAGACAAGTCTTGCCATTCTTGTTGAGGAGAATGAAAGAAGATGTGCTGCAGGATCTTCCACCAAAAATTATTCAAGACTACTATTGCACCCTCAGTCTTCTGCAGGCAGGTTCCATGCTTTGTATTATTATATTGGCACGAGTAAGGAACAAAGGCATCAGTTGTGGCTCTTCTCAGCTCTTAGATGTGCTTCAGCTGGAAATTCTATGTACTTTTGCATGGTTGTCTCTTGTTAAAAGCCTAGCATATGTAAATTGCACCCTCTGTTGATCTCTGGAATTGAAAGTAGCATCTGTCTCCAAGTATAGGCAGTGCTCAGGTTATGAGCAAGATAGATTCTATAGGTTTTGTCTTAAGTCGGATTTCAATGTAAGTTGGGACAGGAACAATGTTTAATTGTAACTCCAGCCAGAAACATTTTTAAAGTTTGAATGGCATAAGGAAGGGTTGACATCTCTGTTTGTTTATTTTGCTGTCTGTGCCTGTCACTTCCCATTCTGTCCTTGTGACAATTGGATATTGAAAATTTTAAGTTGTCGTGGAAACAAGAATTGATTATAAATTTCAGTGGAGACACCTTTTCTCCATGATAACTCTTCCAGAATTAACTTTCCCTTTCCAGGGGTAAATTTCACCTCACTTCCTGTTGTCTCACCCCCATTTGTAACTAGGTGTTGGATGTTTGTAACTTGGGGGCTGGCAGTAATGGCTGGGCTTCTTCAATCCCCAAATGGTTTTGATCGAACAAAGCGAGTCCCTCTGGTTTAGAATGCAGTTTATCACAACTTCTGGAACATCTAAGGCAGTGGTTCTCAACCTGTGGGTCCCCAGGTGTTTTGGCCTGCAACTCCCAGAAATTCCAGGCAGTTTACCAGCTGTTAGGATTTCTGGGAGTTGAAGACCAAAACATCTGGGGACCCGCAGGTTGAGAATCACTGATCTAAGGATCTCCTCTGAAAGACTGGAGGAATGTCTGTTATCCCTGGAAGTGGCTTCACTTCCATTGCAAGGGAAGGGGGAGGCTGGTAAAATGGCTTTTTTAGTTCTTAGAGGACATTTAACCTCAGTGCTTTGTTTTTATCTCGACTTTGCAGCAGTATTTGATTTTTACCATCATTTCCATTTAGTACATAAGCAGTAATTTGTGCTTTGATGAGTTCATTGCTTAAAATGGAGCAATTCTTTGATGTACCAAAAGGGTTTGATTGACATTAAAAGCATTTATAGTTGAAACAGTAGTTTGAAGTATTACAGCAGGGTCAGAAATATGATGACAACTCATGTTCTCCCTGACGTGGAGCAATTATTCCATTGGTCATACAAGCTGGAGGTTGAAGTTTTTGTCTAAGTAGCATTATACTTTCCTTTATGTCCTGAGAAATATGTAAAAGTCATATATTTGGTGGGGTATTGTGTGGTTTCTGAGCTGTATGGTCATGTTCTAGCACAGTGGTTCTCAACCTGCGGGTCCCCAGATGTTTTGGCCTACAATTCCCAGAAATCCTAACAGCTGGTAAACTGGCTGGGATTTCTGGGAGTTGTAGGCCAAAAACATCTGGGGACTCAAGGTTGAGAAGCACTGGTCTAGCATGTCTTACCAACATTGTTAGATCCTCTGAAGAGGCAGCCACAGATGCAGGCGAAACGTCAAGAGACAATGCTGCTAGAACACAATCATACAGCCTGGAAACCACACAACACCCCTGTGATTCTGGCCATGAAAGCCTTTTACAAGTCATATATTTCTTTTAAAGGAGAAAAGTGTTGGCTTTGTCCTGGAATGGCAATGCTTGGAGAGTCCAAAAGTACTCATTAACTTATTAACTTAAAGTGAAAATAGATTCCTCTTTTTAAAGGATAGATATTATTGAACACCTCCCTGATTATTTGTTTATATTTCAAAATATAGGTTCAACTTTATGAAGATTTTGCCAAATCGCGTGCCAAATGTGATGTAGAAGAAACTGTTTCAGCAGTTTCACTGACAGAAGAGACTGAAAAAACAAAACTTAAAGCCACAGGACATGTGTTCCAGGTTGAAATTTATTTTGTTGCACCTTGTTAATAAGCATTCAGTAGATTCTTTCTTTAGCTGTAGTTACCAGCAGAATTTCCAAGAATGGCTTTCCTTTAGGTGAATTGATTTTAATTATATATACTTGAGTATAAGCTGAGTTTTTCACCTCTTTTTTTAGTCTGAAAAGCCCCCCTCAGCTTATACTTGAGTCAGTTATTTATTATTTTAATCTGTTATTATTATTATTTTATTACATTTATTATTTTACTCTATTATTATTATTATTATTACATTTACATTATTTTTCTCTATTATTGTTTTATTACATTTATTATTTTACTCTATTATTGTTATTATTCCATTTACATTATTTTACTCCATTTATTATTATTATACTTATTATTTCATTCTATTATTATTGTTGTTATTACATTGTTATTTTACTCTATTATTACTGTTATTACATTTCCATTATTTTACTCTATTATTATAATTTTTATTACATTTATTATTTTACTCTTACTATTGGAAGGATACGTAAGCACATTTACACTGGAGAAGGTTGGATAATGGTTTAATCAGAGTTGGGCAATCTTAAATTACAGTTTTATGTAAATATTCAAAAACATTTAACCTACTGATGCCTTAATTAATGTAATTTTATTGGTATCTATTTTTATTTTGAAATTTACCAGTAGCTGCTGCATTTCCCACCTTCGGCTTATACTTGAGTCAATACGTTTTCCCAGTTTTTTGTGGTAAAATTAGGTGCCTCGGCTTGTATTCAGGTCAGCTTATACTCGAGTATATATGATACAAACTTTACAATAGTTTGCTTCCTTAAAGAACCTTATATTTCATAAAGATGAAATAAATCTGAAAACAAAAATCACCAAATAAATAAAACTGAAATTGTTACGTATATTTTCTTCTCTGCTTGCTTTTTTAAGGCGCTGCAGTATTTGAGGAAACTGTGCAACCATCCAGCATTAGTTTTAACGGCTAGTCATCCAGAATATAAGAGAATCACAGAGAAGCTTGCAGCTGAAAACTCTTCCCTTCGAGACATCCAGCATGCCCCTAAACTCTCTGCCTTGAAACAGGTGAGCAAGCCTAGTCGTATATGCCTTGATATTAAAAGGACGTTCTTTAAAACTTTGAAAATATGTTCCTGCCAGTTTCTGTTATCTTCACAGCAAGGCAGACTGAAAGTGATATCAGCCATGTATGGGTTTGTCCCCTCATGCCAACCAGATTAAAGAAAGGGGATGACAAAATGATGTGAAGAAAGGAGCTGCTTTGGGTCTCTTTTAAGGCAGAAAAATGAGGGTATAAATAAATAAATATAATAATAATAATAATAATAATAATCTTAATATGGCTGCTATAAGTTTTCCATGTTCCAGAAGCATTCTCTCCTGACATTTCACCCACATCTATGGCAAGCATTCTCAGAGGTTGTGAGGTCTGTTGGAAACTAGGCAAGTGAGGTTTATATATCTGGAATGTCCAGGGTGGGAGAAAGAACTGTTGTTTTTTGAGGCCAGTATGAATGTTGCAATTGACCACCTTGATTAGCATTTAATGGCCTTGCAGCTGCAAAGCCTGGTTGCTTCCTGCCTGGGGGATCCTTTGTTGGAAAGTGTTAACTGGCCCTGATAGTTTCCTGTCTGGAATTCCCTTGGGTTTTTGTTTTTGTTTTTGTTTTTAGTGTTGCTCTTTATTTGCTGTCCTTATTTTAGAGTTTTTAAATACTGGTAACCAGATTTTGTTCATTTTCATGTTTTCCTCCTTTCTTTTGCAATTGGCCACATGCTTGTGGATTTCAGCGGCTTTTTTGTGTAGTCTGATGTGGTGGTTTTTAGAGTGGTCCAGCATTTCTTTGTTCTCAAATAATATGCTGTGTCCAAGTTAATTCATCAGGTACTCTGCTATGGCTGACTTCTCAGGTTGAATAATAATTCCTTCTGCAGTAAGGGCCTATTGCATAAAGTTGTCTTTAGAGAGACTGCAGTGGCTGTTTTTAATAGGGACTTAATGTAAACCCTATTTAATGTAAATCCTATTTAAAATAGCCACATCTGTGGAGAACCTTATGAGGCAAGCCTTTAGTAAAAATGTTAATTTTCCTTGCTTTTCTCCTCCCCCTTTTCACCTCCAGACTACATTTTCATTCTTTTTCTTCATTTATATTCCTTTTCCTATCTGTATCTGTATCCATGTAAATATTTACCCCCTACCCCTTGCAACCCCTCAAATAAACCGATCGTCTTTTTTAGCTCGTCTTAAGTATGTTCCCTCTATGCATTTTTAAAAGGAGAGGAAAAGATTTCATTCACACTGCTAAATTTGCCCTCAATTCATCCATGGATTAATGCAAAATCCACAATTTTGGCCCCAAAACTTGCCCTCAGCTTCTGTATTAGTATATGCAGTACGACATGAATGTGAAATAGATGTCATTCCCAGAAAAAGAAACGGTGACAAACCAGATTTGGTGTTACCAGTTCATAGTTTTTGTTGTGTACATATTAGACATGTGCATTCAGGCCAAAAGGCATGCCGTTTTCATCTAATCCCACATTTCGTTTACCAGAAAGTTATCTGAAAGACTTTTCCGTTTTCATTCGGCAGAGATTTGGCCCATTGTCTACAATGGGAAACTTTAAAGCCATTTTAAGTCCTATCTGCATGAAACCTACCCCAGTTGTAGACCTCACGGACAACTGCAGGCCTGCCAAGTTTCAAAACAATTCACCCACCTACTGATTTTTTAAAGAATTATTTTAAGCATAACGTTTGAGAATTGTAGTATCTGGTTGTGTCCATTCTCAGTCAGCCAGCGTGTGGACACCACCAGGAGTTTTATTAGCTGAGAGACACAGAGAGAGAAAAACTTAAACTCACATCATGCTCCAAGAGGAAATTTCAATGGCCATCCTATGCTAGTGCCGCTGGGAAAGTGAGTTCCCAGGGCCCTCTCTGGAGGCAGAGGTAATTTTCCAAGAAAAAATGGAGGAGGCTTCTTCTGCTGGGGAGAGAAAAAGGCGCCACAGATTGGTGGACTTAACTCTTTCTAAAAATATAGACTCTCTAAATCCGTTTTGCTGCTCTTTTCGTGTCTCCTTTCTGTTTTCAGAAATAAAACAAAAACATTTCTCCAAAAACTACATTTTTTTTGTTAACAGTGATTTGGGCCCAAATCTAGTACATATATGAACCTTGAAGAATCTAAGGCAGAATCTGCACTGCCTTATATCCCAGTTTCCAATCCCAGATTATCTGTTTATCCCAGATTATCTGGCAGTGTAGACGCATATAGTCCAGTTCAAAGCAGGTAATCTGGGATCAGATTCTGGGTTACAGGGGAGTGTGGAAAGAGCCTGAGTTGTCTATTTCATGTTTTGTCATTAAACTGTAGTAGCTTTCCATAGATTTAAGCCTTATTGAGTTGTATAAGTTGGGGAATGTTTTTCTGCTGTTTTCAGCAGTTGAGGGAATATTTCTGTTTGTTCCTTTTAAGCTGCTGCTAGATTGTGGTTTGGGAAATGGCGGCTCTTCAGAAAACGGCACAGAAACCGTAGTTGCCCAGCACAGGATCCTTATCTTCTGCCAGCTCAAGAGCATGCTAGATATAGTAGAACATGACCTTCTGAAACCTCACTTGCCCTCCATTACCTATCTGCGATTGGATGGCAGCATACCTGCAGGTCAGAGGCATTCCATCGTTTCACGGTAAGGCTATTGTCAAATGTTTTTGAACTGAGGATTTTTAGACATCCTGTTGTTTCTGAAATGCATGATATTTTACCACATTTGGTGTGCAAATAAACTTGTGGCTTAGTTGAGTAGATTCAAAAGGCTATAAAGGTCACTTTTTATGGTTAGCATCGAAAAAGGAATGCCGACTATAAATAAAACTGCCATGAAGCTTCATATCTGTGCTGGGGCCGTGTTAGGCCTTTTCTCCTTGAGACTTAGCATCGGGGGCCCCAATTCAATGCACAGCATAAGTTAGGAGTATTCTAGCAAGGAAGAAGATGCACTATAATCATTTCTTGGATGGTGCAGAGAAGAACAATGCTCAAGCTTTTCAATTATCATATATACTCGAATATAAGCTGAGTTTTTCAGCCCTCTCGGCTTATACTTGAGTCAAAGCTATTTATTATTTTATGCTATTATTATTATTATTATTGTTACATTTATATTGATTTCTCTATTATTTTTATTATTTTTATTATTTTACAGTATTATTACTGTTATTACATTTCCATTATATTACTACTACTATTATTATTACATTGATTATTTTACGCTATTATTAATGGAAAGCTACGTAAGCACATTTACATTGAAGAAGATTAGAAGAATAATTTAATCAAAGTTGGACAGTCTTAAATTACAATTTTATGTAAACACTAGCCCTCCCCTACCACACGTTGTTGTGGCCCAGTCTGTGTATATGTCTTTTGTGTGTGTATATATGTGTATATATTTGTGTGTATGTGTATATATGTGTGTATGTGAATGCTTTGTAATATATTTTTTGTTTTTTGGCTTTTTAAGTCTCTTCTGCTGTGTTTTTCAGTGTTTTTATAGGTGATGGTCACTTGTTGGCCTGATAGGTGTCTTGTGTCCAAATTTGGTGCCAATTCGTCCAGTCATTTTTGAATTATGTTAATCCCACAAAGGAACATTACATTTTTATTTATATAGATTCAAAAACATTTAACCTACTGACGGCGCAATTAATGTAATTTTATTGATATCTATTTTTATTTTGAAATGTCCCAGTAGCTGCTGCATTTCCCACTCTTGGCTTATAACCCAAATCAATACGTTTTCTCAGTTTTTATGGTAAAATTAGGTGCCTCGGCTTATATTCAGGTCAGCTTATACTCAAGTATATATGGTATATCACCTTGTTCCAGAAGCAAGTTCCCCAGTTCCAGAAACAGGAGCCAAGAAGTCTTTTTCCTTCCGTCGAATTTTTCAGCTTTCTCTGTTCTTTACAGTCCATTTTCAATCCTGCCTTGCATCAGTGACAAAGCTCCTTTAATTTACTATTGATTTTTAGGACTAGGGTAAAGTTTTATGGCTGACTGCTATGTAGTTTGGCATATGGCTTAGACATATCGAGTCCCTGGCTGTGGTTGGTTGGTTCTCTGTTGACATGCTTGGATGTCTCATAATAATAATAATAATAATAATAACAACAACAACAACAACAACAACGATGGGGACTCGGGGTGGCTTACATGAGGCCATGCCCATCAATACAATAAACACAACATAACACAAAAACACAACATACACATCTCTCTCAGAAACCAAGAAAACCATGAACAGCATCTTGTACTGTGCTCTTTCTGGGAAGTTCTTCTGCCATTTTTTTCTTTTGCTCAACAACAAATGCAACATTCCCATTGCCATATAGGCTTATTGTAGAGGCCTGTTGTCCTGACCTAAATCTTCCATGCAGCGATGATCCTTGAGACATTTTAGTGCCTCCAGCAGGAACAGACGTGGTCAGGCTATGGGAAGTAGCCCTGCTGTTTTTCCCTACAAAGATTACTTCAGTTTGAACTCTTGTGCTTAATTTAAAATGAAACCACCTCTTCAGGATGCTGCCAAATGGTGGTACAGATCACTGGATACAGTAACTTCAAAATGATTGGAGGAGTCACAGGTCATTGCAGCATCACTGCAATGGATTTTCAAGTGTTTTTCACTAATACGTCTCTTAGCACCTCTCAAAAAACATAAGAGGCCTTGAATTTTCTTGTTTGTCCCTTTCAAATTCAGTTTATACAATAGCAAAGAAGAGAAGACGGCCATTTTTGTGGAAGGAACATCTGATTCTTACCATAGGAATTCCTCATTCCATACAGCAGAAGTAAGGTCAGGAGCAAGCATTTTGATACTTCAGCTTGTTTCCTCTAAACCAGTGGTTCTCGACCTGTGTGTCCCTAAGTATTTTGACCTACAACTCCCAGAAATCCTAGCCAGTTTACCAACTGTTAGGACTTCTGAGAGTTGAAGACCAAAACATCTGGGCACCCACAAGTTGAGAAACACTGCTCTAAACCCTAAGGCTTCAATTTTTGACTCTTAGCTCCTAAAGGACGATTACAACACAGTTTTCCAGAAACCAGACTTACCCATGTCCAACTTCCAGGGAAATAACACAAACAAGATATTATAGAATTCTTAATCACTCATTTGTTGGAAGCTGTAACAATAGTGTCCTTGCAAACTGACAATCGTATATCCATTTGGTTTTGTTTTGACAGTGGAGAAGCTTGACGTACAACCTGTGCTTCAGTCTTCTCCACATCTGTATTTGTTCCTAACTCGGGAACGAATGCAGATGATCACCACAGGCACCAGCTTGCCTTTATTCTGCAAAATGACTGACATGAAAGGCCACATCCTATGAATCAGAGCCTCATGTACAAATCCGTCCTCAGGCCTGCCTCTTTCTAAGCACAAGTTCCTATGCCCTTTGGAAGTCAACTTTGTCAAGAGGTCTCCCACCATGCTCCCTTTGCTAGTTGGAATTGGTCACTTGCTTAAATGGCGCAACATTTAGACGAGGGACTCTACAGATATCAGTCCTAGAGATTGTGAAACCAAGTTCAGAGGGGCAGGTCATCCAAGGGAATTGCCCAAATCAGAAAGACAGACACAGAATGAACTCTGGAATGCTTTCAGACCCGTTCTCTTGTACTTTTTACACATAATCTAGCATTTCTGCATTCCTGTAAGAACAGATAGCTGTCTGAAACAGATTCTTTTTTTTCACTTAAGCAGATAGAACATTGTGTGTCATCTGAGAAATTTTCAGTGTCATAACAAATTGACTAAGTTACCAGGATCACAATCTATTGAAATGCAGTTTCACCCAATTTATGTTTGCTGCCATTCAAGAAGCATTGATTTATCTATTGCATAGACTACCTCATATACATTCTTCTCCCATTTCCTGCCAGAAAGCTGAATTAACATTAACTAGGTCCAAGAATTGTATGCTTTTGATCCAAGTACACTGCCATGAAAAGATCCTGTGCAAAATCTGGTATGCATTACTATTCTGCAAAATACACCCTGTCTGAACCAAGTGTTGATTAATATAGTCTCATGTACACATCTTCCTGTTCTAAATTTAGTTCTATAAATTGCATCTTGTTTCCTGTAGACCCAAGAACCTTTTTGCCAGTTGGCTTAAGTAAATAGTAGTTCTACCCTTAGCTGGATTAGGCATTTCTTCAAAATGGTTTGTTTGAAACATATTTTTATGGCATGTTAACTTTGTCACCAGTTGCTTCTGGTCCTTGAGTGGGTGCCTTCATCATAGCAGGCAGAAATTGGCTTTTCCTATAATCCCTTGGAAGAGCTCCCTTAAAGGGCCTTTCTAGTAAGAGAGATCACAGGGCAAACCATCTGGGAGATTTTTCTCATCTTCTCTCTTGCCCCTGCCTCTCCAAGCAGGCTGGATAGGGTTGCTGTGACTGGCAAATGCCTGTCTATGCAGCACCAAATTATATGGACATCTTATCTCAACCTTACTGCTCACTTCCTTGGCCTGTGTCACTTGCCATAATGGAAATACAGTGGAATTTTGATTTAAGAGCATCCCAACTTAAGAGAGTTTTACGTTTCACTTTGACATAAGAGCAGCATTTTGAGTTGAGAGCTATCACAAAAAGGAGCACAAGACTACAGGGCTTTAAGGAGTACCCTCCATGCCTCGTACTTTTGTTCACTTTGGGAGATTGCTGTCTGCTTAGTTCGTCCGCTTTGAAGAACTTTGGGTTAGTTGATTTTGTGTAATTTTTATTCCTGGTATGTTTGGCTTCATGAAGAGAGGGAGGGAGACAGAGCAAAAGAGGGAGGGAGGCTGGAATGAGGACAGTATGAAAAAAATTATACTTCTGCCTCTTCACTTTTTGCTTTGTGCTTTTTTGCCACAACTTTGTGCTTCTTTTGTTTTAAAGTTGACTTTTCCTTTTTATTGTGGATTTATACATTATTTGTTATTATAAAGTACTTTTTCTTGTTTAAAAACGTATAAAAATGGAGGGTCTCTTCCCCCGAAATGGTTTAATAGCATTTCAATACATTTTAATGGGAAAATTCAGTTTCAGATAAGAATGATTTGAGTTAAGAATTCAGTCACAGAATGAGAACTCTTAACTCAAAATATCACTTGAGGTGTTTCTTCTTGTCTGCATGTAATCAAGCAAATGTAAACTCTTTTCCACACTCAGGTTTAACAATGACCCATCCATAGATGTACTCTTACTGACTACTCATGTGGGTGGACTGGGTCTAAACCTAACGGGAGCTGACACAGTAGTGTTTGTTGAACATGACTGGAATCCCATGAAAGATCTCCAAGCAATGGACCGAGCGCATCGTATTGGGCAGGTGAGACATTTACAACTGTTGAGTCAGGGATAGTTTAAACCATTAGAATGAGTCAAAAAATGGTTAGAACTTCCAAATCTAGTGCCATACGTAGCCATCATCCCACATTTGTTTTCTAAATTAACAATAGGAGATCAATTATATTTTTAACATCTTCAAGTTCCTAGAATCCTGCTTCACACACACACACTCAGAAATATAGTTATAGTAGTAGTTGTAATGGATATCTGTTTATAACGTGTATAGGGTATATGTTGTAGAGAGAGATGTGTTAGTTGTTGCAGGTTTGTTTTATATAGAAGGAAAATTATTTTGGTTTATGGTTTTTTTATGGTGGTGGGTGTTTTTTTTTTTTGTTATTTTTGGTACTCTTTAATTCCATTTTTTCTTGTTTTGTAAGTCTGTACCTTTTCCTTTTTTTCTATATGTTTGTATAAAAATTACACGATGTAATATAATTTTTGTTACTCGGTTATAGATGTCATGTCCTAATTGGTTCTATCATAAAAACATGGAAAAGGTTTATTAAACTGCAAAAACTTTGTTTTTGTGGGACCAGTCGGCCATGTTTGAATGTGTCTACCTAAGAGTGAGTGGCCGGGACAGAATAGGAATTTTGTTGATGTATTGTCCACCCCGCTGCTCAACAGTTTCCCTGCCTGAGCTACCCAGGTTGGTTCTCTGGCCTAGTGTTGGAGTCCCAATGACTAATTTTACGTCATTGCTGTGACCACCCTATCAGGAATGGCTCAGGAATTCATGGCCACCATGACAACCATGATTCTGTCTCAAATGGTTACTGGCACTACCCATAGTGCAGGACACACACTCGATCTGGTCTTCTGTTCAGGATGAGATGACAGTGACGATATTGTGGAGAGACCATCTACAGTTCCTTTGTCATGGACCGATCACTACCTGGTCAGATTTAGACTTACTGGAGCTCAAACCTCTGCAGAGGTGGCGGACTGTTTAGGATGGTCTGCCCCTGGAGATTTATGGATCCGGGCGGATTCCTGACGGCTATTGGGGATTATCCTGCTACCTTGGTAGGTGATTCTATCAAAGATCTAGACAGAATCACCTCTGGTTGCTAGGGCAGTTGACACGATCACTCCTGAATGTCTCCTTTCATAGAGCAGAGCTAAATCAGCTACCTGGTACTCCAGGGAGATGGTGGCAATGAAGTCAGTGAAACAGAGACTAGAGCAGCATTGGTGGAGAACTCGCAGCAAATCTGATTGAACATGGAATATGCAAAAATAATATTTAATATGCAGTAGAGTCTCGCTTATCCAACCTTCGCTCATCCAATGTTCTGTATTATCCAACGCAGTCTGCCTCCTGCTTGGATCTGTAGTTGTTTCAATTCATTGTGATATTTTTGTGCTAAATTTGTAAATACAGTAATTACTACATAACATTACCATGTATTGAACTGCTTTTTCTGTCGATTTGTTATAAAACATGATGTTTTGGTGCTTCATTTGTAAAATCATAATGTAATTTGATGTTTAATAGGCCTTTCCTTGATCCCTCCTTATTATCCAACATTTTCGCTTATCTACTGGCCCATTTATGTTGGATAAGTGAGACTCTACTGTACTAATGCGCCTAATGACATATCTTGGAGACGTGATCCAAATCTACACACAAAATTCATTTTGTTTCATATCCACCTTTAAGTATAGCCTGAAGGCAATGTTATATGCAGTGTTTTTAAAATAATTTTGTGAATGGAACAAAGTTATGTACACAGAACCATTAGAAAACAAAAGGTGCCACTATCTCATCCACACATGTTAACAATGTTCAATTTTGTATTTCCAGCTAAGGAATACTCAACCTGTATTCATTTCTTCATTGCTTTAGTTGATGTGGCTGAGTGTTGTGTCTTCTTTTAACTAGCGTCTTTAGATATTTGCTTAAATGCTCATTGTTGTTAACTTGTCCCACAGAAACGGGTTGTTAATGTTTATCGCTTGATCACAAGGGGAACCTTGGAAGAAAAAATAATGGGTCTGCAGAAGTTCAAAATGAATATTGCAAACACAGTTATTAGCCAAGAGAATACGAGTCTGCAAAGTATGGGAACTGATCAACTTCTTGACCTCTTCACTCTTGATAAGGTAAATAATAGTTCATAATGTATTCAAAAGCAAACTACAAATGCTTCAGAAGGCGTTTTAGCTGTAGATTGGTTATATTTGGGAAAGATAAAGAGAGGTGGTATTATTATTATTATTAATAATAATAATAATAATAATAATAACAATATTTCTGGGTTGCTGTGAATTTTCTGGGCTGTATGGCCATGTTCCAGAAGCATTCTCTCCTTACGTTTCGCCCACATCTATGGCAGGCATCCTCAAAGGTTTTAAGGTCTGTTGCAAACTGGGCAAGTTGGGTTTATATATCAGTGGAATGTCCAGGGCGGGAGAAAGAACTCTTGTCTGCCTGAGACAAGCGTGAATGTTGTAATTGGCCACCTTGATTAGCATTTTATAGACTTGCCGTTTCAAAGCCCATCTGCTTCCTGCCTGGGGAAATCCTTTATTGGGAGGTGTCAGCTGGCTTTGATTGTTTCTTGTCTGGAATTCCCGTCTTCTTAGTGTTGTTCTTTATTTACTGTTCTGACTTTAGAGGTTTTTTTTTAATACTGATAGGCAGATTTTGTTCATTTTCATGGTTTCTCCCTTCCTGTTGAAATTGTCCACATGCTTGTGGGTTCTTACCTACTTCTCCTCATGGCTCGAGGAGGGTCACAGGTAGTACAATTCTTTCTTAAGGATGAGAATCTCTGTTAATAATAATAATAATAATAATAATAATACTTTATTTATACCCCGCCACCATCTCCCCGGGAGCCCCTGGTGGCGCAGTGGGTTAAACCCCTGTGCCGGCAGGACTGAAGACCGACAGGTCGCAGGTTCGAATCCGGGGAGAGGCAGATGAGCTATCAGCTCCAGCTCCTCATGCAGGGACATGAGAGAAGCCTCCCACAAGGATGATAAAACATCAAATAATCCAGGCGTCCCCTGGGCAACGTCCTTGCAGACAGCCAATTCTCTCACACCAGATGTGATTTGCAGTTTCTCAGGTCGCTCCTGACATGACAAAAAACAAACAAACAAAAAAAACATCTCTCCGATGGGGATTCGGGGCGGCTTACATGAGGCCAAGCCCAAACAACAAATTACAGCAAAATAAAAACGAAAACAATAAACAACATCATAATTACATAAAACATATGAATGCATAACAATATAAAATTACAGTAAACACAATCACAGTGATAATGGGCAGGTTACATGTAATGATTAAAAGAAAAACTAATTAAAAACTGATTAAAAAGTAAAGGGGAAGCAGGTTATATCATCATTTTAATTCTTAACAGTCCTCATACTTAAGAGTATTATCTTGCAATATACAAATTTGTCTTGCTTGAGATTTTATTTTGTTATTTCCAGAATTATTTACCAAAAATGTAGATCTTAAAATACATGTACTTCTATTCATTTTTCCTTCATCTTGTTTCTCTAACCCAATCCCTTTCAAGGATGGAAAAGCTGAAAAAACGGACGGTGCCACTTCTGCTTCCGGTAAAACCAGCATGAAGTCAGTTCTTGAAAACCTTGGAGACCTTTGGGATCAAGAGCAGTATGACTCTGAATACAGCCTGGAAAAGTTCATGCACTCTCTCAAATGACCGCTCCTGATGGCATTTTTCAGCTGATATTCAGCAAGTTTCAAAGCATAGAGCCGGACTTCTAACGTAACGTGTAAATATCCCTGTGGAAGAAATGTGAGGAAGGGCTGGACTTTTGAAGAGAGCCGCCGCCTTCGCTTTGGAATCATTTAAGTCTTAAATACGGATGTCGTAAAGTAATTTTGGATTTCCAAAATAGATACGAACTCTTATTTGATTAAAAAAAGGAATAAGGAGAGGAGAAAGAGTTCTTAACAGGTTTTGCACATGTTGATAAGTGTTACTGCTCTTTGAGCAAAGTCTGTCGCTTCCCTTTTCGATCCTGAATCCGCAGGAAATTTGTACAGGTTGGTTGGACTCCTTTCGTCTTGCTTTAATGGTACACTTAAAAAAGCGCTCAGTTTAACAAGTTAGAATGATGTTTGGTTCACTTTGGGATGTGATATTGGCGCGATAATGGCAGAGCTTATCATCCTGGAACAATATTGGGGAATTAAAATGAGACTCTCAAGTATTAAAGTTCCCATTTTTATAGACATATTATATATTTAAGCACGTGGTGCTCTTCAAGTCTTCTCACGTTTGAGAGCAGTTGACTTTTTAATAGGAATTGCTGATAATAATGGCTTACTTCAAGCCATATCCTCATCCTGTTTAGAGGGTGCCATTTTTAAACCTGTGTGTGTGGTGCGTGTGTGTGTGGATGGCTAAGTTGTTTCCCCAGTTCAGAGAACTAAAATATGCAGTAGGTTTCAATCCTATATTTTTTTGTAATTGAAAGAGGAGATATATAGACAAGAGCTTTTCCGGGAGCAGATCTTACAAAATGGAGACTCCGTGCTGGAAAGACTCCCTAACGTGTTAGTGCATGAACCTCTTTAATGGGAGAGAAGAGATGCTCTCTTTAGGGATCCAGACCATGAACGGTCTTAGAAATGCCTACGCTGCATCAGAAGGAATTCAGTATTTGAGCTGAAGCCATGTCATAGACATTTTAAGTGGCTAAGGAAAAGGACAGTAAGAATAATAATATTTGTACATTTTTAAAAGGGGTATCTTCTTCTAAAAGGGAGTCTTTAGTGACATATGTCTGCATAGATGTGCATGTCTGTACCAAATGTGTACACAAGTTTTCTACATATATTAAAATCAACACAAGCTGTCTCAAACGCATTCACAAGATATATGAATAGATGTCATATCTACAGTTTGGAGCTTGCACTTCAGCCTCAGAGCTTTGAATAGCCATGAGACCTCAAACAATGTAAAGTAATTGCTTTGATTATTTTTTTTTAAAAAAAAGAGAAAAAACACGTTGGCTTACGGAGCACGGTCGTTTTGCAGCACTTGGATATGAATGAACATGTGTCATATTTCAGTGGATCTCTGAACTGCTATACTGTACCATTAAATTAGCATTCCATGGGAAAAGAAAATAAAAAGGCCAAACTGGCATTAATCAGCAGCCTTTATACTTCTTGTCATTCTTTCTGCACATTTAGTCATGAAGATTATGGTGAATGGAACTAAAATAAAATGACATTAATGCATTGTTTATTTGACTTGGAGGGAAATGGTTGGTTTCCTTGTCATGGGATACATCTATTTGTTTGTTTGTTTGTTTGCGAAATTTATATCCCACCTTTCTCTGAGTACAAGCCCAAGGTGGTTACAACAGAATAAAAACATACAATTCAAAGTTAAAACAACCCATTAAACATAAATATTTGAAACAGCAAACATAATTAAAACAGGTTGTTGTTTGTTTTTTTTGTCGTGTCAGGAGCAACCACTCCTGTTGTGAGAGAATTGGCCGTCTGCAAAGACGTTGCCCAGGGGACGGCCGGATGATTTTTGATGTTTTATCATCCTTGTGGGAGGCTTCTCTCATGTCCCTGGATGAGGACCTGGAGCTAATAGAGGGAGCTCATCCGCCTCTCCCCGGATTCGAACCTGGTCTTCAGTCCTCCCGGCACAGTGCTTTAACCCACTGCGCCACCGGGGGCTCCTTAAAACAGTGTGAAGATGAAAACCCAAGATAAAAACCCACCGCTTGCACTACCACTTATTTGGCTTAATTAAATGCTTACTCGAAAAAGAATGTCTTCACACCCTACCAATTGTATGATCTGGCTTTTGTATTGCACGTTGAGGAGAAAACACAGGATGGCACAAAAGTATCCTGATTCATGATGTTGCACTCTAGCCTGGAATCAGCTTTGCATCACACAAGACTCCAGTATTGCTAACTAAACGGTTTATTGAAGAAAAGTCAATATAAAAAAAGCAATACAAAAATCAATAGGAAAAAGGCAATAATCCATACATCAGAGTTCCGTTTCAAAAGAGACAAGGTACATGGAAAAACAGAAGTCAAAACATAAGCATAAATCCATAACTAGAAACAGGAACTTTATCCAAAACATGAATCCATGAACATGATCACAAAAGTTTCCCAAATAACTTGAACTTGAAACAAGACCAAGGTGTACATGGTAACACAGTGTTGCCTGCTCTGACCCTTAAGTAAACAATCCTTTAATTTAAGGACCATAAAGGCATGAAATCATACCTTTGACATCTGCTCTGTTGCTTCAAGGATTTCTCATACTGTTGTTTGGATTTCTCCCTCTGTTGTTTCTCATGAAGTCTCTGTGTCCTCCATAATTTGGCTCCCTCTTCCCTGAGATTGAGCCTCAAACTCCTAACTTCAGGTGTGTTCCCAGGGGAAAGATCTCTCCCTTCCAGCTCCTTACCTTCTGTTGCCAAGGAACGACTCGGGGAAAGGTTCTCCCTACCTTCTGAGGCCACAGCATCCCCCCCCCCATTCTCTCTGCTCTGCTGTGAAGCTGTTTCTCTCTTGCCAGACACAGACCCTTTCTCCCAGGCAGAATTGGGATCTAAAATCCCCTCATTTCCACACTGGAAAGCCCATCACAACATCTCATAGGATAATCCCCTCGTCTTCAACCTCTGGCTGCACTACAACACTTGAATCCTGCCTGTCCAAGCTTTAATGTTTAATCATCATATAAGCCCAGCATTTTAAATAAGGCATTCTTGGAACATTTTTGCTCATTGCACTGTTAAAACTGTCAATGTTGATATGTGATCTCTGTCAAAAAATACCTTAAAACAGCATTGAAATCTGACTATATCTATATATATATAAAGTCAAAATATGTATGTATGCTTGTTCCACAAAGGCTCCTACATGGATTTGATGGATCAGGACCAAACTTGTACACAAACCCTTTGTTATCCAACCTAAAATACTGATGGGGTTTCAACTAAAAAAAAACCCCTTTCAGGGTTTTGGGTCAGGGCCCCAAAAACTGAAAACCATGTAGGTGGTGCTCAGTTGCAACCACAAGAGGGCAGTATATAGATAGAAAAGCTGGCTCAGACGGAGAGATGAGAAATGGAAGAGGACCACAGACATTTCCAGATGTTTGAACAGAAGCTAACTGAGGAAAGGAGAAAGGAGTCCTTAAGATGACAAAACTTGGGTAATAACTGAGTTCATGACATAATCCTATATCCCACTGGTTCCCAGCCTGTGGTCTGTGGACCACCAGTGGTCCACAAGAACTAAAATATGGTCCATGGCCTCACTGTTACTATTTACTTAGAGCATTTGTATCTTGTCCTCAATCCCCGAAGGGGGACTCAGGACGGCTTGCAATTGGCAGTCATTAGATACCAACAAAGAAACAGAGCACAACAATTAACATGAACAAATCGACAGCTATAAAAATTCATTAAAAGGCAATAAAATACATTAAAAATATTGGCCCTTAAAATATTAACACAACCAAGTCTAAGTCAGCACATCTAAATCATAGTCCGGAGTTCCAGTCCAATGTCTCTTAATTAACAATTCTCACGAGTCATTACAGCCAGCTGACTGAATGCTTGGTCCCAAAGCCAAGACTTGAGTTTCTTCCTGAAGGAGAGGAGAGAAGAAATCACCCTGATTTCACAGGGGAGTGCATTCCGCAGGTGGGGAACCACCACCGAGAAGGTCCTGTCCCTTGTTCCTGCCAATCACGCTTGTGAGGGTGACAGGATTTAGAGCAGGGCCTCCTCCAAGGATCGTAAACTCCAAGGTGGGTTATAGACAGTGTTCCCTGATCAAAAACAGGTTGAGGACCACTGCTATATCTAGAGCAGTGACTTTTGCATGCATGTAGAAAAGGAGTAACATGAGTAAATCTAGTCTGAGAAGCTGGGTACTGAAACTTTTATTTAAAAAGAAGCTTGTACACTTAACTTTTCCCGGGTATGCATTTTCGGTGGCGCAGCTGGCTGGGAGTCAGCTGCATTAAGATTACTACTGACCGAAAGGTCATGAGTTTGAAGCCAGCCCGGGTTGGAGTTAGCTTCCGACCAGTTTGTGTAGCTTGCAGCCAAAAAGATAGTTGCATTTGTCAAGTTGGAAATTTAGCTACCTCGTATGTGGGGAGGTTAATTTAACTAATTTACGAGGCCATAAAAAACTCCAGCAAGAATGCAAAGAATGAGGAAGTACTTTATCAGTGTCACAAATGGATGGTGATGCGACAGCTCCCCTGGTGGCCAGAATACCCTCATCAAAAGCTGGAATGTTAAATAGCCTCTGTGTGTCTGTCTATATATGTTGTGTGTTTATGGCGTTGAATGTTTGCCATGTGTATGTACATTGTAATCTGCCTGAGTTCTCTGCAGGGTGAGAAGGGCGGAATATAAATACTGTAAATAATTAATAATAAATAGATCATAATTCTGATGGAAATATTCATAAAATTGTAAAGCTAACAAATGAGTATTTGCAATAAGGAGCATTAGAAAATGCATCGCTAGTAACAATATGTATGATCTACTCGCTTATTCTCAAATAACTTCTCCTTACGCTGCAAAAAAGGGGGAAAGAATTTTAAGTGTAAGTAGTTACGATCCCATTGTCATCAGCGCTATTCTTTATCACCACGGCAATTCAGTTACAAGCCGAGCCTTGACACTGTGTTTGGAAATTGTGGGCTTTATTTCATTTTGCTCTGCGATGCCATACAGTACAGCTGCAGGCAGTCACAAAAGAAAGCGCCGGCTATTTATAGTGTCTGTAAATACAGCCCACACTGTCTGGCGTTATCTGACTTGCTCTTCGTACCCTTCTAGTCCTTATCCCTGATGGCAAAGCAATGCTGTTGTCTGGTCATGACTCACCAGAAAGTCATGCTAATTATATTTTCAGCACATCATTGATGATTTAGATGGAAAATCACTCCTGTTCTGCAAAGAGATAGGTGACTTTTGTAGTACAGCATTGCAAGAAGGTCATTAGAGATGTGAGCAGCGCATGCTGGCTTAGGTGAGCTTTGTGGGCATGTGAGAACAGAGATTTAGCAATTTTGTCTTTATAAACTAGCTTGGGGACCCAGCGCTGCCCAGGTTAGCTTCCGACCAATTTGTGTAGCTTGCTGTCGACCTTTGCAGCCCGAAAGACAGTCGCATCTGTCAAGTAGGGAATTTAGGGGAGGGTAATTTACGACGCCATAAAAATCTCCAGCAAGCATGCAAAGAATGAGGAAGTACTTCATCAGTGTCACAAATGGATGGTGAAGCGACAGCTCCCCTGGTGGCCAGAATACCCTCATGAAAAAAGCTGTTTCGCCCAAATCTATGGCAGGCATCCTCAGAGTTTGTGAAGTCTTATACACAACTGCTCAAGAAGATCTGGGCTTTGTTTTTTTACACTTGCTTTGTAGACATACACCTCCATGTCAATACTGATTGAAGTTGGGTTCTGTATTAAGATGTCCTGTTAAATTCCAAATAGTTGGATCTGTTTCTCCAATTTCATTTATTTAGCTCAGTGGTTCCCAACCTGTGGGCCGTGGCCCAGTGGTGGGCTGCAAAACTTAAAATAGGGTCCACAGTTCTATATTATTAAATATAGTTTTCTGTGGGCGAGGAGATGACGGCTACTGGACGGCATATGTTCTGTTTCAGAAACTAGAGCTGAAGTGGACTATCCAATGCGGTTTTCTTAAGCAGCACCCAAATAACCAAACTGAATTAAAGTTGACCAAAAATGGAATGAAGAAGGAAATGATTATGGAAGAATTTAGAGAAATAAAATTGACATGGTTCCATTGTATACAATTAAAACAATGGTTTAAAATCTGGGTTAAAATAATAAAAATGGAAGTAAGCTGAACCAATTTGAACAAATAATACAAAATGGAAGGGTTGTAGAGGAGCATGAAAATTTGAAAGGAATAACTAGTAAAGTATATAAGATAATAACTGAAATAAAGAAAGGAAAAACAAAAAATAACACTGTCAAGGAGGTCTGGGAAGAAGATTTAGGGATAAAAAGAAATGAAACAGAGTGGCAACAATTATGGAGACAAAGACATCTAAAACATTTATCAATACGTGTTAAAGAAAATTACTATAAGTCAATATGGAAATAGGAGCCCC